CGCCTGGTTCTGTGACCACTTCGGACGCAAACCCGCCCTCCTCTCCAGTGCCTCCATCCTCCTCATCGGAGTTACCCTCCAAGGTGCGGCCCAGAATGTCGCCATGTTTATTGTCGCCCGCGGCGTTCTGGGCTTCGGCCTCGCGCTCAACATCACCGCCGCGCCCCTGATAATCATGGAGTTGGCGTATCCGTCCCAAAGGGCACCACTGGTGTCCATTTACAACTCCCTCTGGGGACTGGGAGCTCTCAGCGCCGCGTGGATTACCTTTGGCACGTTTCGGATCGGGAATACGTGGGCCTGGAGGATCCCTTCTATCTTGCAGGGACTTTCCAGTATCGTGCAGCTCGGCTTGTGCTTCTTCATCGAGGAATCGCCTAGATGGCTCATATCAAAGGAGAGGGATGCAGAGGCTGAAAATTTATTGGTAAAGTACCATGCCAACGGCGATGCGTCGGATCTTATCGTGCCTTTGGAGATGGAGGAGATCAGGACGGCTCTCAGGCTGGAGGCGGAAGCATCAAGGACTACCTCGTACATGGCCTTTTTCCAGACGCCAGGCAACCGTCGTCGCTTCTTCATCATTCTTGCTGTCGGCTTCTTCTCACAGTGGTAAGTCATACGCTCCTCAAACTGGCCATCAATCATCCTCTGACTATCTCTGCTAGGAGCGGCAACGGTCTGATCAGCTACTACCTGACCTTGATTCTCAACTCGATCGGATACACCTCGCAGGACACTCAGACGTTGATAAACGCACTTATCACTCTCTGGGGATTATTCTGGGGTCTCCTGGCCTCCGTCTTCGTCAACCGCTTCCGTCGTCGAACCATGTTCCTCGCTTCGACTATTGGCTCCCTCGTGTGCTACGTCATCTGGACAGCTCTGCAAGCAACTTATGAAAAACAAACGGACCTTACTGGTGCGGGATCCCCAGGTCTTGCAAAAGGCGTTCTGGCCATGATTTTCTTGTACAATGTCACGTTCACTGTGGGATGGGGCGCACTCCAGGTCACCTACGTCGTGGAGATTCTGCCCTTCAACCTCCGTGCTAAAGGCTTGGTTCTGTACAACTTGTTCGTGGCCTTGGCGTTGATCTTTAATCAATACGCCAATCCAATTGGTGTGACGAACTCAAAGTGGAAATACTACATCACGTACGATGTGTGGCTGGCTTTTGAGGCCGTAGTGGTATATTTCCTGTTTGTTGAAACAGGAAAGATGAGTTTGGAGGAGACTGCAGTCATCCTTGATGGCAACGAGGATAGATTGACGGAGGAGGTGGCTCGGAAGACGGAGAAGCTTGCGCTAGGGACACATGAACATGTCGTAGATCACCATGTATGAGATGGGATAATTTAGGGCGGCTAGGCACTTTGTAGACCATTACTTCTCGACACCAAGTGAGTCAGTAGCTACATGTACTACCTACTATTATTTCCACTGCTCCTATAACTCTCATTGCTTTTGACCCTAGATATTCCCTAGAGAATTCGCTCCAACAGGCGTAGCAATCAAGTAAGAATCAAGGTATAAAAAAATGAGGATTACAGTTACTTGTACGATGACCGGCACCCTTCTGTGTCACCAGTTTGACAAGGAACATCGTTAGTGTTTATCCCTCTACCCCACCAGGGGTACGGGGGTCAGCGACGACGATGTATCGAAGATGAATCATACATACTTATCCGCGCTAAATGTACATCAAATTAATCGTAACCAATTAGTCTCTTGGATTGCTTGATACTTTTGCAGTTTGCCAGTGCGGATAGAGTACTGTCAATATCCGAGCAAAATTTTATCATCGTTGACGTGCACCAGCGTTGGAAAAGACCTACAGAGTCTAGTCACTTGGTAGTATTGAAGCTTGCGTTTTTCCATCAGAAAAACACGTTTTATGTCCTGAGAACACATTTCGTAGTGTCCATTGTCTTGAAACCTCGGATTCGTGAAGATGCTGGCCCAATCCGGCAATTCTCGTGTCTTTGCCGGAGGAATGGCTCTAGCGGGCTGGTTGGCTGTGACTTCGGCCAGCACAGTTGACCGGTCACCGATAGTTGATCTTGGGTACGCAGCCCATCAAGCGAGTCATAATGTAAGAGTCCCCCTTGCCCATTTCAAAACGGGGTAGCTGCCTGAAGATGCAACTTGGCGTGGAAACACGAAGCCAAGAAGAAGTGACAGCAAAAGGCAGGATACTATAACTTCTCAAACATCCAATACGCCAATGCACCCCGATTCAGTGCACCCACGCCGATTAAAAGCGTCAATCGCTCAGTAAATCTTGGTCAGAGAGCGAGTATTTGCCTCGCGGCGTTTCCGGCCTGGTATGGGATCTCGTCCCTGTACCAGAGCGGCCAGCTCTCGCTGGATGAGGTGAACTCAACTTTCGCCGAGTCGCAATCCGTGACTCCGAATTCAGGCTCGGAGTCGATCGGAAGATATCTCAACGCTGCTGACACGACAGTCACCGAAGACTGCTTGGTGTTGGATGTCGTAGTACCGGACAGGCTGTGGGGGAAATCCCGGAATCACTCGCATTCTGCTGGTAAGTTACTTCATCCACTCGATTGAACATGAAGTCATCACAAGGTCATTGTTGAACAGGCATTCATCTACGCAGCCCCCGTGATCGTTTGGCTTCATGGCGGCTCATACGTTCTTGGTCACAAGAACTTTGCCGCACATCCCGCAGGACTCATCGCAAAGGCCCAGGAGGACGGATCTGACGGCGTTATCCACGTTGCTCTCCACTACCGCCTCGGGCTTTTCGGGTGGATGTCTGGACCTGCCTTCATAGAACAAGGTGGTGTTGCAAACCTGGGCCTGCGAGACCAAAGACTCGCGCTTGAGTGGATTTGGGAGAATATTCATCTCTTTAGCGGGGACCCCGACAACGTCACGGTCCTTGGAGAGTTTACTGGAGGAGGTTCGATCCTCCATCAGCTCACGGCATCTAGTTCTTCGAGCGGCGCTCCATTCAAACGCGCCATCTTAAAATCACCCGGATTCGAGCCGATGGAAGGCCCTGCAAAGCAGAACTTGCAGTACAGGAGAGTGCTTGAATGGGCATCTTACTTCAGCAATTCCACCGTCAGCAGCCTCGACGACCTCAAGCAGCTTCCGTTTGACGTGCTTTAGAAGGCAAACCAGGTCATCATCGCAAAGTCATACTGGGGTGCTTGGGTTCCATGGGGACCGGCGGTCGACAATGACTTTGTGGAAGATCTCCCTGGTGTTCTTCTTTCGAATGGGAAATTCGACAAGTCCGTCGAGATACCCACCAGCCACAACAGTGACGAGGGCTTCATCTTTACATCGCCATTGATAAAGACAGACCATGAGTATGTATCTGGGTTTTTGCAAAATCTTCTCCCGGATGCTTCGGATGATGTCATCGACTACATCAAGACTGAACTCTACCCCGCGGTGTATGATGGTACTCATCCCTGGAAGACTCCCCTTGAACGTACATCCGCTACTATAGCCGAAGCTTGGTTCATCTGTAACAATCAGTTTCTCAACGAGGCTCTGGGAGGGGATGCGCACAACTATCTTTTTGACGTGCCACCGGGCTACCACGGGACGGACATTGCCCACACCTTCTTCAACGGGGAGGCCAGTTCGAACGGTCTTCCCTCTGAATGCGTCTGCGGCAGCCACACTGCAGGCGTACGTGACGATTTTTGCGAAGACTGGCGGTCCAAATGCTGTAAACATTCCATGGGTGCCAGTCTATGGTCAGAATGCAACTTACGTGTCAATTTACGATGAACTTCCTGTATCAAACAACGACGCGATGGACAGATGCTCTTGGTGGCAAAGGGCGGTCTACAGGTCATAGTCAACCAGCTATTAGATTAATATGGATTGAGCAGTAAGAATACCATAAGCGGATTTTATGTGTAGATTTCGGACTCCTGTGATTCGTGAAATATTGCCATCTACATTTACCCCGCGTTGGAACATCCAGTCATTTGCAACTCTGATCGGGACATACCGAAATTACTAATACTTGGAATTACCTTTCACTGAAGTCGCACCGCTTGATGTCACCCGTGTGTTCTGAAATAGTTGCATCAGCCTCCTTAAAGGCACATCTGCATCAACGCCCTGGAATCAAGCAACTGACACCGGACGGGTTACACTTGACTTTATGTTTTGTCAACATGACCGATCCCACGGCGCACTCCAAAAGTACTTTGTGTACTTGCATACATACTTCGCCGACATACTGGTTTAAAAGAACAAAAACTTACGCGGCAGCATGAACACCGTCGCCGCCGAGAGCAAGTTACAGGTTTTGTCAAAGCTCGCCGAAGCCTCGGGTTGGCCGGCCCCGCAGCACCCACAACATCAAACACTTGGATAATAGCGCGAGCCCAGCCGTATACACACTGAAGCTGTCAAGTCTTTTTCGTTTCTTGGTGTTGGGCAGATCAACCCAAGCGACAGCAAAAGCTGTCTATCATAATCAGAAGTCCCGAGCAGGTGAGTGCGATTGCGAGAATCACAAATCCTGGAGTTTTCAATGATATTGATGACGGATACTCCAAATTGGTCGTCGATTCGGCCGCAAGGACTTTCAGACTTTGCTCCAATTTGACATGAAAGTCAAAATTAACAAGTCCGCTTGTCCCAAAGTCTCAGCTATATTACGATTATCATATCATCACCTATCTCAAGTTCTCCTCATAAGAACAAAGTTTGCCTTACTCCACTTTCCGGGCTGTACCAAGAACATCTCTGACGATCGCTGGCGGCCTCGGAATGCAAAGTAAAGCGTGCCACTGCCAGCGCCTCGCCAGGAGCGCCGAGGGAACAGCTTTGCTGGAATTGATCGTCCAACGCCCGCTATCAAGCGTGAAAACTTGGGAACCGGGGCCCTTCCAGTTGCTTCAGACTTTATTTTAGTAACGAGGCCACTATGCATTGGCCCACAGCTCGAAAGCCAGTTTCGCATCAGCAGGGCAGCTCCTGTTTCGTGTTAGCAGCGTCGGCTTCTAGAAGCAGTCTCTGGCGGCACCGTCCGAGTCAGTCAACGCTGTGCTCGATGCCGCACCAAGTCAGCTGCGCCCAAGTCATACGACATCGAGAACTTGAGGTGCAATTTAGGCAAAGCAGCAAAGCAAAGATCTGTCGGATAATAGACCACGGTTCAGGTGGGATAAATACCCCAGGCCCGGGCTGTTCTGATGTCTAGCAACCCAAGCCAACTCACTCGAGCAGCAAAAGCACAACATTCCACGAGTCCGATAAAGAAACAAATACTGTTTTACGAAGTTAAACTTCAAGTCCTACCATTATATTCGACCGATAAATTCGACTATTCACAATGAAGGCATCCATTATTACCATGACCATGGCTTTCTTGGGGTAAATACACCTACTCTTGACTAAGGAGAAACACACGTATTAACCAACTCATAGTGCAGCAGTCTCCCAAGAGATCTTCAGATGCCGTTGCGCAAGCGGAAGCAATTTCGACGTGAGCCTGGACGGCATCTCAAGTTTATGTACCTCAAAGGGCGGAGAGATCGAAAGCGCAGGTTTGTGCGTCAAGGTGCCCTCCAGATTCACAGACGATGAGTGCATAAAGGTCGAAGCCGGAGCCAAGGGCGATTGCATCGTGGACACCATCTCCGGCGGCTCCACCAGCTCTGTGTCCTCACCTGGCGCTACAGCACAAGCTACTCCTAAGCCTAGAGCTCTCGATCCTCAGTCATGGGTGGCATAGTATGGTGGATACAGGGACGGTTATTGCTGATGATGGGGCTACCTTATCATTGAGTTCCGTCGAATGCCGCTCAATTCTCTGATTTAGTAGCGCTTAGGATACCACTGTGAATCAAATTCTGACTTGAGATGTAACATTTCTGGTTGTATTGTTCCTTGAGGCCAAAGAAAATCTGCTCGCTGAAATAATTGCTCAATACTCCGAGGTTGGCTATCGTGTCTTATGTTTGAGGTCTAGACAATGGCTTCGGCGAGATCTGAGCATAAGGTATGTCAACGACCACGATGGAATGAGAGCAAAGTACAGTAATGGAAGTCTGCCAGACAAACTATATTGAGGGTTTAATTCATTTTTACGTTGAACAGTTATTTTGTTCCCGGTCAGGTATCACGGCTAATCGGCAAGTGGGCATGTGAAATTTGGTCCGAACTGTCCGAAAGCGCGGCTGAGAGAGCACCGAATACCCCGAACGAACCCAGTGACGTCAAACAGTTCCGACTAGAGTGTCGGACGACGGTGGGAGTTTAGACCCCTCACTTCATCGTTGGCTTACCGATCGAGAGGAACTCGCAATCTAACCTACCTTTAGTTATAAATTGCTAAGTAGTACACTTGAGCCACTAATTGTTCTTATCAACGAGAGGGCTTTTCACACCAAAGATTACTTTCCTTCGATAGTTCACGATCTTGTACACAATGTTCTACCAGCCCGGCATTGATGACCACGGCTTACCATATGACCCATTCAAAGTGAGTTACCCATAGCAATCAAAAAGCAGTATCTAATTGATTATACACTACCTTAGGCATGCGTAGTACCTCGTGCAATTGGATGGATCTCAACCGTCTCATCCAAAGGCGAGCACAACCTAGCACCCTACAGCCAATTCACAAATGTCAGCTTCGACCCACCCATGGTTATGTTTAGTGCCAACCAAACGCACACCGAAGACCGAAAAGACACTGTCAACAATATTGAGCGCACCGGAAGCTTCTGCTGGCAGCTCGCCACATACCCTCTCCGGGAGAGCGTCAACATCTCAGCGGAAGCAATCGGCCCAGACGAGGATGAGTTTGAGCGAGCCGGCCTCAAGAAGACGTGGTCAAAGAGGCTTAAGACGTCAGTACCTATGGTCGCTGATTCTCCTGTCCGATTCGAGTGCGAGTATATGCAGACAGTGCGCCTTCCCGGGAAACCGCCGATGGGAACTGTCGATGTTATTTTTGGCAAGGTTGTTGGTGTTCATATCGATAATAGCATCTTGACGGATGGGAAGATCGATGTCTCTAAGACGAATCCAATCGCCCGACTTGGGTACTTTGAGTACGGCATTATCAACGATCGCTTTGAGATGGTTGTACCTGGTGATAAGCGCATGCTTATTGGGGTAAGTCAAGTGCACTTCAAAAAGCAGGAAGTTGCGAGCAAGGCTAATTCATGACTTTTCGTAATATAGCTCGAAGGCAACGCCAGTAATAACAACAAGAAATACCTCAATGAAGTCTCGGATAACTCCACTTCGTAGAGTAGAGACAGAACTTTAGTTGCCTCCGCCTAGTATAGACCCGAACAGCCTCACGATAGACGCAACATATGATGTTTGTCCGAGGATCGTTGATGCTCCGGACTTGAGTATATTCAGCTGCCGGAGAGGACGAGTATCGGCCCAAAGACTTTCAAGACGTGCTTGCGTTTGAGAATTTACCAGAAAATTCAGTCTTGATATCCCACGTCCTGAATCAAGTTCAGACATGAAACCCATGTCAGTGGTGTCTTAAGTACTCTCTTCATATCGAAAGGCCCATTCTGAGGCTCTGAGCTCCTAATGCGGAATGTAAGGGAAGACAGTATTGCATGCGAATATTTAGTGTATGTTGACCGGCGGCCAATATCCTTATAAAGAGAAATTATACTTATGTTATTTTCTAACGGAAAAAGTATACACAAGAGATTTGACTTTTATTGAGTTGCGCCCATATCTTATAGTCACTAAGTCTTATCGAAGTAAAATATCAATCTTTCAGTTGGCAGCATTTACTTCGGCCAGGATCAGTAATCGAGTCTTCAATAAATGTCTGCAATCCTACGCTGGGGGGCCCAGTCACAGGCGCGACTTGCATGTAGGCTTATGTCATAAGGCTGAAGAGAGATTGCCAGAAGCGTAGACTGACCCGACTCTTTGGTCAGGGCAGCTTCCTTTGTGGTGATCCCGGCAGCCTAGGAGGCTACTCCGTACTGACACAAAATGCGGATAGACCGCGGCACTATTCACAACACTCTAGACATGGGATTGCCGGCCGCGGGAGTTTTGCTACCTTTTGGCTGGGCTACCCAAGAGCGCTCCTCGGGTGCATTACTGAAACCCTTACCCGGTCGCGTTTCTGGTATCATGGGCAGATTGAGCAAAAAATGGAGTCAGCAGTTATATCTGAAGATTTTGAGACGCGAGCTCCGAGCAACGATTTGGAAAGACAACAGATCCAATTCAGCGGTTCGGATTGACCAGGCGCTAAAATTTTTCTTTAGCTTCGAGGATACTGAAGAGTTTCTTCCCAGTGACATGTATCGTCGTATTGCATACAGCGACTGGGGGACCGTCTGCCTAGCCGGCATGTGGGAGGCTATCGGCTTGCTCCCAGAGTCCTAGAAACCAGCCTGCCTGATTAGGCAGTGCAACCCACCAATACCCAAGCTACATGCACCTTATTTTCTAATCCCTTAGCTTCAGAGACGGACGGTTGATCCGGGATCCGAAAGTCTTGCAGAGCCTCATGAACGTCATCTTGAAGTCTGGCAATTTTCGACCTGAAGACAACATGAAGGTGGTGATGGCCTCAACTCTTTGCCTAGCAATGTGCTGACTCTACAATTCTTATGCCAAGCCAGAGTCAATACGAGCCCGGCCCCTATCAGCCCCACAGAGTCTGTTGCTTGGCAAATTGACAATGGACCTCGCCGAATGGAGCCTTCAGGATCGATGGAGTCTTCACATGCCACGCATCAAGGCACTGTGGAGTTCTCGGATTCAACCCACCGGGCCGTTGTGGTTCTGTCTTCTAAAACTAACTACGCTGACATCCAAAAGGCAGGACAGGCTGTTCAGCTGCACGTTTGTCCTGCCTGATGAATGGAAAAGTTGAACCCAACCACGACACCATCCATGTCAGCGGAGTTTGAGCGAATACCCTTTAGCGCGGCTACGTGGTTTATCTCCTTCCTATTTCCCTCCTCCGTACCGACCTGGCCCCAGACCATCTGCGATGTCTGCGCAGTGCCGAGAAATATCAGGGGAAGCTATGGCCGGGACGGGAGACATCCACCGCTGGTTCCAAGACGGGCTTGCGGCATGCCGTCATTTCTGTTCTGCCCCTCATATTCGTTGTTCTTCTCATCAATCTGTCTGCCGCTGCCACCGCCTACGGCTCGTGCGGTTGGAATACCGACCTTGGATCCCACGAGGTGAGCAAGAGATAAAGACAAAGATCGAGGAGATTGCGTTGCACAGACGAGCAACAGGCAGATATCCTACTTGTTACTGCCAAGATGAAGCCTGCCATTGAGGATGGAAACACGAGTCACGCGATCGGGCGGCACCGAGCCCATCCGGCCTTCTCCCCTCTCCCGCTGCCACTCCTCGATTTCTCAGCCACTCGACTTGACTCTCATCCCCGAAAGCCCCCTCCGGACGCGTCCCTCTTCCTTCGCTTGAATTAGTTCTAAACGTTAAACGGCAGTTGACCCCGGTCAACAAAGCAAGCCGAGCTTCCTTGTTGCGGCTCTTGGCGAAGACCCCGCAGCGCAAATCGACTATCAAGACAGGGGAAGTCGGGCGCTATTCGCTTTTAAATGGCGCGCTCTTGGGCGAAGCATCTTGTGAATGTGTGTCATCATTGGAGCTGGCATGACCGTGGTCGTTGCTACAGGTATTGAACAGCCTGAATGGGAATGAGAAATCCGAGCACATTTCCCCATAGGTCAGCACGGAAAAGCACCGCCTTCTGACGTGCCAATTTCCAATTGGAAAAAGCACCTTCAGAAGAGGGCTGGCTCAATGATCATTTCAGGAAGCTGTTTGTTAATGTAGACATGGGATGAACGCATAGTATTCCTCGCCTTCAACCTGGATGGTCGCATAACGGTTTCTATCTTCCGGATTTCGATCGGGACCCGAGCCCGCAGTGATAGGAATACGAGGTCGTGAGAAAAGGCAATATGTCATGTCTTGGTGTTTTCACCCAACACAGAAGGCCGCAGCTGCAGTGTTGCGCCCGAGTCCATGTCCCATCGAATGCAGCAGCGCTTACCCGCATATTCTGCCCCAGACCATTCACCCACCATCACGCATGGTCCTGTACCTGAACCTCGCTGATCAGAGACCGCATCGGGGCAACTTTCTAGTTCAGACAGCGAGGCCAGTGCTCTTTGGTCGGCATTTGGGCCATTTGGGGATCTCCCGCCTCCAGATAGTCTATTGCGAGACCCCCTCCACGGTCGGGAATCAGGACGGATGTGGCAGGCGGGAAGAGGTTAAGGCGTGTGTGGAGTTTGTGTAGCTTTTTAATTAAGTCCTGGTCCGTTCATAATCCCTACATCGGGTCCTCCAACCAATGTCAACACGCGACCTTCCACATTAAGCATAAGTTGAGCTAATATGGCTCCTCTGCTAAGGTAACCTCCAACGGTCTTGGTAAACAAGTCCCAAGCAAATCAAGAGCCGGAAACCCCTACCAATGTCTCATTGAATGGCAAGCCAGCTTGAGTCAATTCAAGCCTCCAGCCAACCACGATTCTGCCTGCGCGGAGCTAATGGTGACAGTTCCTATCATTTAGATAATCGGATTTGATGTTCATCAATCTATCGGCGCAAAGTCCGGGACCCCTTTCTCGCTTGAATGTGCTGCCGTAGTCGGAGCTTGAGCTGGAGCTGGTACCCGCGCCAGGACCACATAGGCAACATAACAAAAGATCCAACTCCCAGATATCAACCGGGGAGGAGGTCTGAGACAAGCAAGCCAAAAGGCTGGGCGCGCTTGAAAACAGCGGGTAAAGAGGTAGGTCAGCTTTAGCTTTTTGGAAGGTAAGAGCTTCCAAACAAGCATGTTCGTTCTCGCGTGCTCCCATGGAGTAGGGGAGTCCACAACTTTCCTTGCTCAAGCACCTCGCATCTCCCGCTCTAGGACCTGTTTAGGAAGCTTGACAGCTCCAAGCTGGAGACCGTAGGGCTTGGCGGGACATCACGCAAGATACTACACCAATATGCGTGATGTCAAAGATGGAATCGACAGCGACTCCATCTATCTCAGCCTCCGTCGATATCTTGGAAATCCGATATAAAGATGGACCTTGCTCCCGCTCTATCATCAGTTTTCCTCTCTTCAGCCCCATCCGCTCTTCTCTGATCACCTCTCCTCCTCGGTTCTTCTATCTTCATCACAATGGCCTCCCTTCGCCGCCTCGCCCTCGCCGTCGGAGCTCTGCTCCCGGCCGTCCTCGCCGCCCCCGCCGCCGTCAACAGACGCGCTGAGCCCGCGGCCGCCCCCGGCAAGTACATCGTCACCCTCAAGGAGGGTGCCGCCGCCAGCGTCGAGTCCCACTTGAACTGGGTCGCCGACGTCCACAAGCGCTCTCTGAGCAAGCGTGACACTGTCGGTGTTGAGAACACTTTCAACATCAGCAACTGGAACGCCTACTCTGGCGAGTTTGATGAGGCTACCATTGAAGAGATCAAGGCCAGCGCCGACGTAAGTTGACGAATATCTGGGGTCCAAAATATCTATATCAACATGGCTCTAACTCTCTCATACAGGTTGCTGTTGTCGAGCCCGACTACTACATGTACCTCTCCGACTTCGAGGTTGAGGAGCGTGCCCTCACCACCCAGTCCGGTGCCCCCTGGGGTCTGGGATCCATCTCTCACAAGACCTCCGGCTCTACCTCGTACATCTACGACACCTCGGCCGGTGCCAACACCTACGCCTACGTCGTTGACTCTGGTGTTATCTCCACCCACACCCAGTTCGGTGGCCGTGTCACCCTCGGCTTCAACGCTTTCACCGGCACCCACACTGACACTCTCGGCCACGGTACCCACGTTGCCGGCACCATCGGTGGCTCCACCTACGGTGTTGCCAAGTCGGTGAGTCTCACTTAGGTACTCTAAGCATCTTGCCCTGTTCGTACTAACACCTCATCCCCAGACCAACATCATCTCCGTCAAGGTCTTCCAGGGCGCCCAGGGCACCACCTCCTCCATTCTGTCCGGCTTCAACTGGGCCGTCAACGACATCACCTCCAAGTCCCGCGCCGCCCGCTCCGTGATCAACCTGTCCCTCGGTGGCCCCGCCTCCACCACCTGGACCTCCGCCATCCAGGCCGCCTACACCCAGGGCGTCCTCTCCGTCGTTGCCGCCGGCAACGGAGACGACTTCGGCAACCCCCTTCCCGTCTCCAGCCAGTCCCCCGCCAACGCCCCCAACGCCCTGACTGTCGCCGCCATTGACTCCAGCTGGCGCCCGGCCTCCTTCACAAACTACGGTGCTGGCGTCGATATCTTCGCCCCTGGTGTCTCTATCCTCTCTGCTTGGATCGGCGGCAACTCTGCCACCAACACCATCAGCGGCACCTCCATGGCCTGCCCCCACGTTGCCGGTCTTGCCGTCTACCTCCAGGCTCTTGAGGGTCTCTCTACACCCGCTGCCGTTACCAGCCGCATCAAGGCCCTCGGCACCTCTGGCCGTGTCACCGGCACCCTGTCTGGTAGCCCTAACCTCGTTGCCTACAACGGCAACGGTGCGTAAATTCAACGTTGTTGATTTGCTCAACGATAGCATGAAGAGACTGTGGGTGTCGTATTGTCGAACGCCAGCAGGTCTTCTCAAGTTATAATCAAGTAGCTGATGGGGATGGTAACTAGAATAATGATTAATTCAAAAAGTCTTATTCACAGAACTTTAAGCCACGACTTGATTGGTGAATGTGTAGTGCAACTGGAAAAAATGCAAATCTGAGAATCCAGCTTCCGAGCATGTCGCAAGAAACGAGTTAGTTGACGCCTTTGAAGAAATGATCTTTATCACGCGCTAACTCAGTCTTCAGATATAGATAGCTACCCTGTGAACATCGAAGCTGTGCGCAACACTTCCAATAACACACCGCAAATCTGTCAAAGTCGGCCTTAAATCCACGTACCCTAGACACTCGGTGAGGTTCCCACATGCAGGCACAGAACACAAGCCTTTACGTGTACAGACGACAGACTCATATTCACCTCTCCAGGCCCTTGTCAAGTACATGCTGATTGTTTGGAGAAGGCCATAGGACGCAGTTCCCCGGCGAGGACAAGCAGCTCACTCGAATTACCATGAGCCCTAAGACTCGTTGACGGGGCATTGGCACATCTCACCTTAGTTCTTGTCGCAAGTCAATATGAATAACAGTGATTTAAAAAGTTTAACATTTATACTCGAAACGAAGTGTCCAACTATTCGTCTCAGCTACGTATTACCCCTCAGCGTGTTCTCCTTGGATGCCTCAAGGGTGTTTGCAAAACGAAGTGAAGCAAGACGCCTTCGCCACCTACTCCAATGATATCATCCTTCTATTGAACAAATAGAAAACGCCCCAGCAATGAATTGTATGTGCAAGAATTTCCTCCAAAGTAGCTCTCCGCTACAAGCCTTTACGATCGGCCCAGAGCGTTGAACCAGCTCTTGCGGGGGTCCTCAGTGGGATCCTCGAAGACCTTTTGGCGGGCGGCTTCGCTCTGGGGGTTGTTATACTTGGAGAAGAAGCGGTCCATCTGTTGGGACTCGGTCTTGAGCTGGGATCGAATGTTCAGGGCGACGGCGGAGACTGCGAGGTGAACTGCGTTAGTTGACTTTACTGGAGACAAGGTAGGGCTGAAGATTGGACTTACCAACGCCGATAGTGATGGCAGCGGGGAGGAACCTGGCAAGAGCCGGGGTGGTGGTGGGAATTCTGGCGGGTTGGTTGACCATTGTGAGAGTTGTGGGTTGAAGTGGTTGAAGGTTGTGTGAGTGTGGTAGCGGGGGTTTAGGTAAACCGGGGAATAGTTGCAGTGGACTTTTGTGTAGTTGGAATACTGGAGCGTTGTGCTTGCTTTTGTGTGGTCGATGTGAGACTGGAGTGCATCTAAGATCGTATTTCCCCTCATCTTCGTTGAAGATACTTATGTATTTGAACTCGTCTGTCTCTCACCTGCTTCTCCCGAGCGTGGTGTGGTTGGCATGTTCATCTTCCCGGTGTTGTCTGTTGATAGTTCGACTCTGCTTGAGGGTGGTGCGGTGTCGCGGCCGGATCTGGTGGTGCGGTGGTGTGATGTGCGTCCCGATGGCGCGGGTCTGTCATTTTTCTCATTTTCTGGGGGGTTCCCTCAAGCCTGCAGCAGACCCAACTGTCAAACTTTTGGCATGGAGAAGGCCGGAACCCTTGTTTTTTCACGGCTCCTTTGGGCCATTTGGGGACAAGATCTTGCACTAAGCCTGATTACTTTGGCGCTATGCCTCGTTGGTAGGAAGGATTTCGAAGATCTGAGCCTTTTTGCGTGGTGTCTCTGCCCAGCTGTGCTCAGCGTGACTCTGCCAGTCGAACGATGCCTAACGGGTTCTCTTCGTAAGCATGTGTTCCTATTCGTCAGGTGCCCGCGGCGCAGCAGTCGAGAGCTGGCAGGGCGGGCGGTCCAGTCCTTCGGGAGGTATTCTGTCGGGCCATGTTGGTTGGAACGCTTGGATTGATGGTATCATGGACTTCGCCGAGAGTCATTTGCGTCGGAAAGAATGAGGTCATGCTTCATCTGCAGGCTCGTTCTCAGGGCTTCCACGTGAACATGACGACCCGACGATGTTGTTTTCAGGTTCGATCGAAATTCGACCATTCCAAGTTGCACGCCGACAGAGAATACCACGGCGAAAACGCACTCCGGCAGCGCCGAAAGACCCCTTTTCGGCCCTTGTCGCCTGTTTTCGTGCTCCCTCTGTGCTGTGAGTGTCAGCTGACGCCTGTAGTCCAGCTGAGTTCATAGAGTCAGCCACGCTACGAGTCATTTCGAAACCACAAGAAAACTTCAATCTGGAAATCCCGTTACCCGACGAGCAACTGTAAGGTATTGCAAAGCAGAAAAGCAAGTTGGCCTTTGCTGAAGTCTCTATTGGTATTGTATGTATCCGTATGTATTGTTTTCTTTTGTTGCAACTCCACAGTTAGTAGCTAATATTAAACGCTCAAATCGAATAGCTGCCATCGACCGACTCTCTATGAACCCCCCACAAAGGCGCTTTAGCAAGTGAGCTTAACATCTGTAAAGTCGACTGAAAGCTGATGTTGCACTTCTCCCCTAGTGCTAAGCTGTAATGTTTCCACGTATTCTGTATAATGGCGAAAGTCAGTCTGAAATTTACGTTCCTCAGTGTAGCTACATGTAGACACTCATAAACTGGATGTAGTTGTACCAAATGTGCTTTACTCACCATGTTGTTCGTTGGGTTCCAAAAATGTACCGCAAAGCTTACTTGGTAGTTGACCTCATTCTTCATATCGTAGAAGAAGAACTCCTTATCGAAAGTCTTGCGCGTTGGATTCGTCCTGCCGATCGAGAGGGTTTGCAAGCCGACGGTGACGCTGGTACCGATGTCTCTCGGGATGGAGTAAGTTTTGCACCTCAGTGGGTTGTTGCCGTCACCGGAGCCGACTTCAGCGCACCCCGCCTCGGCGATGCCAAACAGAAGTGACAGTGCGACAAGCGCGCCTGAGAAGCCAGGAAACTGCAATAGTATTGGGTCGGGTCTAGATATGCAGTTGTTTCTGCTGTGGGGTTTGTAGATTGGGTTGTGTTTCTTTGGTCAACTAGATCTTGTAGAGTCGTATTGGAAAGTCGATGGGAACCTATGGACATCAACGCAAAGGTACCCTCTTCTACATCATATACCCCTTAGATTGATCGAGCCAAGGAAAATATAATATTTTGAATTCCACCACCTTTGAACGATTGACTCGGTCTCACATTCTATTGTGAATCCGATGCCCAGCTTTAACCAGCTTTGGCTCTCACAAGAGTCAACGCAACTCCGTCTCAACACTTTGTGCATCAAAATGAGGCTAGCCTCTCCTTTAAACTTTTCCTTGGAGATGAAACTCCTCTATCTTGGTTTGCACGGCTGCTGAGACCCATCAAGGGGCTAGGGAGGAGGTCTCGTCAATTGAGATAGGTTTAATTGTTGAATGACTACGCTCAGTCTAGTCACGAAGAACGACGAGGTCACTTTCCAATCCATGACATCACCAAGGCATCCAATCGACGGCCTCTTTCCAGTAACTTTTACTATGTCTAAGAAAGTTGAAATCTCAATTTTGTGTAAAGTGGTTAAGTTATCGTGCTATCAATGAAGTATTCTTATGGCCGCAGACGCCCAAATACAACAACCTCCGGTAATTTGCCTCATCCCACCTGAGCCATTTGCGACAGAGATACGCAAGCGAAGGCAAATATACGAGTGCACCTGTCGCCAGGTACTTACACTAATAGACATGGCCAGTGTTATGGCCAAAACATTAGCAGAAATCGCAGAGCCACCATCGTTGCGTCTTTGGACAATAAGCTCCTGTGAGCCAGGATACCCTCGAAAGGTTTGGAAGAACGTACTAAGCTGTGATCCAAGCTTTTATTCAAGACCTGATCAAGCCTCCAGTTTGTCTCACCACAACGGTTCATCCGGTGTAACAGTGCAGATCTGCCGAGAGCTGTGGAACTCTTCCGGGTGAGACCGAATTCCGGAATCTTGGTTCAATTAGGTGCCTGCAGCTGCGTGCGGATGCAACGTCCCGACGCCTCGGCCATTATCTCATCGCCATCATCTTAGATGGCCCAGCGAACATGAGAGGCTGTTAGTCAATAAAGTACATCTCAAGTTAAATAGGTTGTTCACCTGAGAATTCATCATTTATCAAAATGCTTCGGCTACTAGAAACATGACTTATTGGCCTAGCAAACCAGAGAATCTGAAAATCAAGGGTCAATTAAACTCAAAATAAATACAAGAAGAAGAAAATCTTGAACCTCCACGACTATCAAAGCAAATACCTCAGACAGCCCGTTAAATCTGACTAACATACGACGACTTTGTGCTCTACTAATCCAGGAATGTTCCTTTCCACAAGTCACTCATCCATCCTTACTGAGGGGATCCCTCCCAAGTCTGGTGGATGAGCGAGGGGTGGTTTGTCGCAGGCTCAATGGTCCTCTTGCTGCAACCAGAGGTAACGGAGACGTTGTTGAATCGGTCCGCAACCCACGCCAGATAATCGACATGCGACGCCTGGAAAGCCTGGTCGTGACCAAGCTCGGGATACAAAAGTAGCTCGGCGGGCGACTCGGGGAAGGCCTTGCAGGTTGCATCGAAGTCCTCCTCCATGGTCTCGGCGTAGGTAAGTATGTCTTTGGTGCCTTGGACAACCAACATAGGGGCTGCCCACTGGTGTACACCGGCTCCATTGAAGCGTTCTTGCCAGTCAAGGACGTCAGGGTGTGTCAGCCAGCTGGTGTTTTTGTATAGCTGGGTCTCAGTCAAGCTGCCGTAGATGGTCCCGCCGGTCTTGAGACATCCCTGATTCGACAGCGGAATACGGCTGGCAACAATGTCGCTGACGTAGTCTTCTATCCGGATCGTCTTCAAGAGCTTTGAAAGAGATTGAAGAAAGTAGACAGACACTACATCTCCCACGGGGCCTCCGTTCGCGCGGCGGAAGGATTCAGGAATGAGAGACAATGGCCGGAGTGCAGGTGCGACCGAAACGACACCAATGAGTCCGCCGGTCGTCATCTCGGCCTTTGCCTCCCTCTCGTTGGTGCGCCACGCTGTCAAGCCACCCTCGCTGTGTCCAACGACGACCCATTCCTTGGACAGTCGCTCGCCAAGGGCTTTGCGAGCTGCCTGGAGGCCATGGCCAACGTCGGCAGCGTGCAGTGCTCCCGACTCGTACATGAATCCCTGGGGGATATCACTGCCCTGGCCAGCATAGTCGGGTGCGATGACGGCATATCCTGCTTGAGCGAGGATGAAGGGCGCCTCCCACTCGTAGTAGAGTCCTCTATGATTGGTTGGCGCACACTCACGACTGTATCCCGCGGTTCCGTGGGCCCATACGATGGTACGGAGCGGCTTGTCCTTGCCTTGGGGGTTCGACCATGGAAGCAGGGCGAAGGCGGTAGCGGGCAGAGGCTTGCCGTCGATGTCTTCGCTCATGTAGAAGAAGCGAGAGAGGGACATGCCGGCGGGGACAGTCCATATCTTAGCGGCCTGGGTGCCCGTGAGGTCTTGCCATTTGATCAAGTCACCGACGGCGTAGTCTGAGAGGTTCGCGGGATTGGTATAGAAGGGATCAACGTTGACGTCTACGTTGACCCAGCTTCTGGTCTCGATAGCGAGTGAAGAACGGTACGCAGCTTCGCAGCTCTCATCGCAATTGCTGCGAAAGTCTTGAGCTTGGGCGCTGATTTGTAGCGATGAGATGGCCAACCACCCAAGGGTAAGGGACCGCATGGCCATGCTCATGAATGGACTTGGTCCGTAAAAAGAGTGAGTAGATAAGGAGAAAGATGATAGAATCGTGAAGAACTTGATGCTTTCTAACCTCTAGAAACTCCGGCGTCTGCGAGGTGACCTTTATATCTCTATAAAGCTATCGCAGCGATGCCGGGGCCGATGTCAGATGCCGTAGTCCAGTTCAACAAAACCCTCCAATGGCTATCCAGGTAGGGGTCTGTCCACATTCACCACGACGTTGCGGTTCTGTAAGCGAGATGCTGGCCCCTTGGCGACATGGAATGGTGAATCTTTAGGGGCAAAGAAGCGCACTACCGTCGACCTAAAAGTTCCTAGCAATTAATTCATGGGCGATATTCTTGATAGAGCGGATTCTCTGATCGAGACGATCAAGCCGAGGCTTGGTGGCACCTCATGTTCCTAGATCTACAGTCGTACCACGGAATGTCAGCACTATGACAACGTCAGGCGTTAACAGAACTGAACCTCAATAGGCGTTCTTGAAACATTTCTGTTTCTTTGCAAAACAGAGTTTAAGGTTATTACGTTCGTTCCCATCCAAGAAAAATCAGATGATGTAATTAGCTGTAGAAGCATTGCAGCTTCAATTGATCATCAACTAACCCAATCCAGCAGGTTGACCCGCCAGTAGGATGGTGTTGAGTGGAGAGCAACGCGACTCTTTTCACAGTGGCTGTGAAATGCTCTGATATAACGGGTCTCAATAAGCCCCGCACAGTCGTTACGGCGGCCGAGGGGACCGGAATGTTTTGGAGAAGAGCTTTAAGCAACTCCTTCTCAGCTTCCGGGCTCAACCTCAGCTAGAAAGCAGCATCAAAGACAACGTAGCCTATATCGATATGACAGTCTTATCATCGCATTGGCTGTATCGCAATCTGTAATGTCAACATTAGCACATTGCACAGGCTCTTAGTCTTTCTTGATCACACCTATCTTATCCCGTGCAAATGTATTATGTCTTGTTGCCGGATCTCATGCCTTCAGTCTCATGAAATACATCATCATGCTTCACCACTTACCGATGAGGCAAATTATTCGGTTTGGTCGTCATAAGCCCACGCCTACATTGAGCTGCCCTCAAATTGCAATGCCACCAGAATTCGAATCCCAGCCAAGAGTCTACTCTTGTGGCCCGCATCTACCAGCTTTCTCGTTGATTGCACATCTCCTTTCGCCGTTGCCAGCTGCATAATGTCAGTAATCTGCGGCATCGACGCCCGAGAAGACGCAAGTAAACCCATACTTCCCGGACAAAACAATCGTCTTCCTGTCCCGTTGTTAAGGCATACAAGACAGTCTGAATCTTTTGCACACAGTTCTACGCGAAGAGACCACAGGTATTAGAGAGATGCACGACTCTTAAGTTGTTGGTACCACCAACGCTACCTTGGCCACTGACTCCGGCGCTGAACAGAAAGAAAAGCAACGACGGAGTGGCAAGGGATGAACGCATTGTCATGAGAGTGGATTTCTCTCAGAGAAGAATTGAGGTAAATTTGACCGGGGAAATAATACACGGAAACCAGGCGTCGAATCAAAATCAATTGCAATCAATGGCTTTGGAAAATGTGAGCCTCAGATCAAAGCAGGAAGACTTGATTTAAGATTCTTATATAATTTAGGTCGGATCAGCTGCAATTATGCTGCAATCATGTTGTCACTGGCCCGGAGAATTGGATAGTCACCGGTTGAACCCCGCAGGATTAGCTTTGCGCGTAAGCTCAGTGTATTGTCGACGAACGTCTCTCCACGGCTTGTCCAGTCAAAGTTCTTGAGACGAAGCTGAAACAGACTTTTTGACTTGAGCAAAAGCTGAGTGCCTGGTATGATTGCACTTCAAGCCCGAATAATCTATGGGATGAGCATCATCCCAGGCAACATCCTCCCGTCTCAATCAATCATCAACCGCCACGAGGTCTCGGGAGGCATATGATTATGTGTGAAAGATTTCAATCGTTCTTTGCTCCTTGTCCATTTGAAAGTATCCTCACCGCCGGATCAGATATTCCAAGGGAGACGAAACTTGCGGGGACCTGGGTTGAACAATAAAACCAAACATATGTGCAAGCGTTTCCAACAGCCTTTCTCAGCTCCGAAGTCCACGTTGCCAGACGAGAAACTGCTCGGAATATGCAATGTTCAATTCGCAAAAGAGATCTGGTAAGGTCCATCTCCGCGGGTGAAGTAGCGGTTCAGATCGCAGTCAGCCCCAGGCGCGAGAACGAGTCCCATGAAATCGTTGCGGCTCTCCTCAATCCGGACGCGGACCGATCTGGTGCCCCTATTCTTGAAGTTGTATGTGATATCGTCGTCGCAGCTCTCTTCGGGGTCGCAAGAGTCCCTGGTCTTCTGCATCTTGACTGAGATGGTCGTCCCGGCCCAATCGTAGTTTTTCGTCTCCCCGACCCGGGTCGGCGCTTCCCGATACGCGTTGTGCAGGTAGGGTCCGTCACCGCCTCCGCTGCGAGGGCACTCTGCTGCGGCGCTGACCATGCCAAGGATGGCGAAAAATGGGAGAGAGGCAGGAATCTGCATCGTGGTAAAGACTGGAAGGCTTTCAGTTTTTGAAGTTAGTATCTTTGTCATCTTGGTCCCTTTGGTTGCATACTAGTAGTACCGACTTGGAGAAAGAATGACTGTGTAGTTCTGGCAGAAGCTTAATGAGCGTGATGTTAAGCAACTGATGGCAAACGCTTGTAAGCTACGATTGCCTCAGACATTGGAGGGAATTCCCAAGCAGTATATATAGTCAAGAATTTTGGCTGAAAAATGTCGATTCCACCACGCATTTCAACGTTCTGGATACTATGATCAGAGCACATCGCGAATTAGATTGACCGCTCGCGTAGCTCAAAGTTTGTTAGATGCGACCTGATATGATTACGGAGCACTCCGCAATACTCATTGCTGCAACTTCGCCTTGTCTCGAGACGTAAAGTTCGACTCATAAGACAAGTTTGACAAGCCTTACTCGATCCGAGATTCCAGGTACATTAGGATTCTTCAATCTCAAGCACATTGGATGACGCCCTGGCCCGTTCGTCTGTTGTCGTGACTCGTCTATTCAACCGCACGAATTATCGGCCAAAGGCTTGGCACTATATGAAACCTCAATTTTGGCTTTGCTAACTGCCTACATTGCGAGATTTGGTTCAGTTGTCATACTGACTCGTACTACAATCCCATATTTATGGTTCTGCTTAAAACGGCCTCGAGGTCCGGGCCCGAAATAGGACGCGAAGCCCGACATCTATCCATGCCTTCAAACGACAGATAGTTAAATACCTTATTCCTCGAATGGCTCTCGACTGAGACATTTCAATCAGTTTATAGAGCGTGCTCAGCCAAAGTTCATTGACCGAGCACAGAAAACAGGTACCTAAATACTCCCGAAAATCAGGCATATCGTGGCTCTACGACCTCAGGGAGTCGGCACGGTTGACAATCTACTCGCGTCATCTTGGGCCCCGAGGAAAACGTGTCTTCTTAACTCGCTGGTTAACTGATGTACATCTTACTGCCCTCTTGTAGACAATGCTCGCTCTCATACTAGCTAGACAGACTCAATTCGGAATCACATATGCCCGGGTAGCTCCAAGTCATTAATGAGCTGAACTCAATCTGCCCGTGCCCCCCACCCCCCATCAGCGCAATGGCAGTCCCGTGCAGGACATGATTCCCGCCAAAATGCCATAGATCCAACGCGGCATCGACCTGCTTTGCTCTTTTCGGGCGAACACGTAAGGAACGTTAAGCAACTTGACTGTGTCGACTAGTAGTTTAAGTTGAACATCACGAATCCAATTGATATTGCAGCTTGACTTCAGAAGGAGAATGACACTGCGAGGTTCGTCGCCATACTAAGTCATGGGTTGAGGAGCATAGCCGGCAGTTGCCTCAACTTGCTTCGAAACGCATTCTATAATGAAATGGATCGAACAGCCACAATTCGAAAAAGTTACTATGCTTAGTTTAGAGAAAGGGTATTTACTCATAAGGCCAACAAAATCAATCTAGACTTTTTAGGAGCACATGCATCCATGTCGACTTCACCAGGTCTCTTCTGCTTTTCCACCGGCAGAGCCACTACTCGATCGCGGGCGCCAAAGTGACAACAGCCCAGTGCACCTGGGATTTCTCATCCTTCAACGGCGTCCAGTGCGTGACGAACCTCTCATCGCCGCGGAACAAGGCACTTCTCCGGGTCTGTAAACGGACCTCGACGCTGATGGGCGCTCCAGTTCGAAGAGCATTGCGCACGCGCGTCTTGTAGTCGGACTGGTGGTTGACCATGTTCTGCTTGAGGAAGCGGAAGACCTCTTGGCCTGCTACGAGGCCGACGGTGTTGTTGGCGGGGTGCAACATTTCCAGGACACCTTCAGAGTAGAACTTGATTATGAAGGAGTCGTAGCTGACAATTAGGTACTAAGACGTTGTGGTAAGCAAGACTACCTTAATCCATGGATCGTAAGCTTGGGAGAGGGACTCACTTTCGAATAAGCAGTGTAAAACTCCTTCATCTGGGCGCTCAAGTCGCGTCCTTCCAGCTTGTGGAGCAACTTGCTTTCCATGCCCGGATCGGCCGCGATGTTGTTTGGAGCATTGTCGTTGCTTACCTTGACTCCGAGTGCTTTCAAGAATGCTTTTCGAGCCGAGGGTTGGGAACCAGCGCGATGTAACGGTGCTGGTGGCACCTTAGCATCCTGGGTTTGAACGTCGTCATTGTTAGATGTAGATAAAACTCTCATCACGTCCGCGTTGCTGTGGATTGTGGTTGAGCAATTGATCTGGCCGCCGATGAAGAAGGCTAGTTTCCCGGCTTCATTGTATAGCGGAGCTGTGTGAGGGGATAAGGTTAGCCTTGGTATGCCATGTGGGATTGGATACCCATGTCTCGTTCGTGTACATGTAGCTTGACGCCAGGCTGTGAGAGAGATCTGTCTCGACGGGGTCTACTTACCGACATAGAGCAAGTTCCAGAACGGGTCTCCGTTCTTCTTGTAGTTCAGGATGAGTTCAACGGACTCCTTTCGCTCGTCGATGGCGTTCTTCAGTCGTCGAACAGGAACGCGATCAGTATGCGCTCCCTGGAGGAATCTGCAGTTTCGCGGAATGATCTCGGGTCGGGTGTAGCCGGTGACCTTGATGAATCCATCCGACGCAAAGACGATCGGGTTGTCTGCTAGACTTAACTCAAGGATTAGCAAACGTACAAAACAAAGATGTTCGTGGGAAGGCGTCGAGTTACCCAGGGTTCGTTAAGCAAAAGCAGTCACCGAGTCCTTGATAGCTGTGCCGATTGGTAGCCAACGCCCTCGTTGCACTTAGAGCCATCTGGTACCGCACAAATCGAGGATAGATATCAAGGAAGACATCTTGCTCAACGCTCTCTTGAAGATCCGTAAACAATGTTTCCATGGACGGGAGGGTCTTCGTGACCAGGGACTTCATGTCACCGTGGACAGACTTTCTCAATTCCCCATTGACGTTGATTTGCTTTGACGAGTCGTCGGCAAGAAAGTCCTTGTGTATGCTCGTCATGATTCCAGCCAGGTCATTGAGGACTGTTTGATACTGCTCGACCTGCGATGGGAAAACTCCTGTCAGCAATCATGCTTCAAGATGCCACATCAGAATAAGCCACGTGTACCTTTTTGAGAAACTCGACACTCTCTGCGCAGAAACGAGCTTCGCTGAACTTCAGCAATTGGTGTACAGTCGTAGGATTATGCAAAACAACCTGGAAAATGCCAGGTCCGAAGAAATCAACAGTTCGATTGGACGAGCCATTGCTCGTAACGCTTTGCTTCGAGATCGACTGTCTCGAGATCGAAATCGAATCGTCGCTCATTGCCCTTCGCGCCGCCGTCGGTGGTCGGTAATCTGGCGTCAGAGCCGAGCTGCCGAGACCGTTCTTCACGCTATAGTCTAGAGCCTCCTCCTCCATGTCGGAGTACTGCTGCTTATTGTACGTCTGCCTGCGATTGGTGCGTGAAGTCTGATGCGGACGTCTCTGGCTGATTGGTGGGGGTTCGGCATCCAGATACAGGCGTTGATGATCCAGCACGGGCGTCCTGAGCTCTCTCTTGTGTGCGGCGAGGGCTTCGGCAGCTCGCGATCGCGGGGGCGGCTGTGATGATTGACGCGATGAGGCTCTCGAGGTGGTCGGTCGGCCGCGATTCTGGCGATGATGCGCCGGCGGCGGCCGGGAATCTTCCGTCGGGATGTGGATGGCAGTGACGGGGGTTGTTGCTATACTTCGGTGCCCATTTCGCGTCTCATTGCGGTAATCGTGATATTCAGGTTCCTCTTCCTCGTCGGCGCGGTCTTGATGATGGTCCTCTTCTTCCTCGGAGTCGTCGTAGATGATCCTGTGTGGTCGTCTACCTCCTATCGGGGGAGGTGTTGCTGAGCGGACAGCACTGGGGGATCGCACCATGCTCTGATGGGAGAGTTCCTCGTCTTCTGCGACTTGTGCCAAGAGTCTCTTTGCGGCCTCGATTTCTTCAGCGCGCGGGGGTCGCTGCGGTGTATTGTAATCGTGTCGCTTGAGCACTCGATCGGGGCTGTCAATACTAGCTCGATCGGGACGAGAAGACTGGCGTGGAGGCACAGCTACGGTGTCCCTGTCAGACTTTGTGTAGAGTCGCCGTGGTGGTGAGTAATCCCGGGAGACGATATCTGTCCGAGACAGAGCACGGGAAGGGCGACTGAGTTCCGTACTCTCTCTCGCTGAATGAGATTTCCCGTTTGCCCCCGTTGCCCCATTCCTTTCTTGTCTTCCTAAGGCCGTATCCCGGAGTCCATCGGAGTCATTTCCGGCTCCTCCTAACATCAGACTAGACTCCGAAAGAGACCGCCGGAACTGAGGTCGCGAGTGGTCTTCATCGCTATCTTCAGACTCCTGACCAATAGCAATGCGCGCCGTCTCGATGGCCGTGGTGTCTACCCGTGGCAGGACCCGCGTAAAGAGCTCGTCGTCGATGGGCCCTGTGGGAATTGACTTTGCAGCATTTCCATTCCCGGAGCGAAGGTAAGGCGGGCCGTCATCATCGACGTCATAGCCAGGCGCCATGGCTCAGTGAAAGGCTGCTCTATGGCCCAAGAGCAAGAATGTCGCCTAAACAGAAGAGGACAAGATTTCTTTGCTAGCAAGAGTGTGAGAGCAAAACCTTGTCTTGCTTGTTGGGATGGCACGCGAATGTCTCAACTTCCGCCCATGTGAGTGGACGTTTTCAGAAAAGGAGGAAAAAGAAAAGACTTTCCGCGAGAGACACAAGGAGGGCGTTTGGCGTTTTCTTGAACCAACTCCAACTTCCCACAGAGCCAGCCCGCGCACCCCAGGCCCCGGCAAGATTTTGAGATCTCCATCCTGCCATGCACGCTCGAGAAGTCTCGTCCCAAACCACATTTCCGGCACTTGGCGTCAAGCAGGGGAATGCTCGCAACGGAGAGAGGGGCTGGACCCATTGAAACCTGTTTTCACCCTCCTCGAACTATTGTGGCAGAGGTGCCTTGGTGATAGCGTTCCGCTACGACTGGCTGAATTGAGCGCAAGATTGGACGACAGGGCAGAAGAAATCCACGGTCCAGGTACATCGTTAGCTTTGTGCTTGGACCGCGACTTGGTATGTATCTGGCCGGGTGTAGCTTGCAAAACAGGGTGACATTTGTCTCCGGAACCTGGATCCGTCCCCGATTTTCGAGCCTGGCTGCTCTAGCATCGAGACGTTTTTGCATGAAGAAAAAAAAACCTCCTGCTGAACGTGGGATCCCCACCATCCGAGGCTGTGTTTGATGCTCAGGGTTCGGTGCTCCCTTTGCGCTAATTATCAGACTGTTCTCGAGGCCTAGAATCCGTCCTCCTTCCCCAGCCCAACGGGACGGCATCGATGTTGACAACCCAACTTAACGGTCGAGTCCCTTCATGTCAGGAACCCGGAGATTGTGGGGTTCGTCGGAGATGGGCGTCGACGTGCACATCACCTCGTGTTGTTGAACAAGGATCAGGAGATCACCGATACCCGAGGTGGAAACCTATCATCCATGGCCGGTCCAACTGCTATCAACACGAAAGCTAGGCTTGCTAGCAAACAATAAATGTGACCAGATCACGCCAGATTCAACGGCGCTTGGCATTGTTACAGTATCGACAATGTAGATCTACGTGATTCGCGATTTGCCAAAGGTTGTGTTGCGATTGTTACTTTCAAAACATCCCAGAGTATGATCGCTGCGACCGTACGTAGGATCGCCGATCTAGTCTAGGTCTCCAACTCGCAAACATTTCAAGCCGGCTCAATAAGAGTGTCCGCCAAGAGACTTTGTAGGTACGATGATGCACGACAACGTTTTGATCCACCCGCGCAGAGATGAAGCATGTTTACTCCGTACTCCGCAAGACAACGCTCTGGGACGGTTATTTCTGCTCGGGTGCCGGGAATGACGTGCCATTCGGCATCTCTCGTATCAATATCAGCAGTGATTTATACCTCCAGAGTTGCCTACCGCGGTGATTGTCGCGATATCTGCTGCAATCTCAATCATCCGCGAGAGCCCGAGCGCCCTCTCTTTCTCTCTCCCAGATTCGCTGTGAGATGACTGGTGACGCGGAGGATGCGATGTAACCCTGTACACATGGATGTGGCCCTGCGGCCAGACCTTCGAGTGCTACATGACGACACGATGATGGGGCTCGAGCGTTAAAGAATCGTTTGTTGGCTAGTGAAGGATTCGGACTGGCAAACACTTCCGTCCCGCAGCGCCCAAGCTTCTTAGCTTCCTCTCCAGGCTAGTTGGAAACCCCTTCTTCTTGTCACCTCAAGAGTCAAAAAGATGATACGAAATCTTGACGGAGCAGGATCCGGTCAAGTGTAGATTTCCTTCTTCAACATGTGCCCTATCCCAGTCCCTGGATTTCGGGGATCAGACCTCGGTCCGACTCATACAAACTTGCTACTCGGTAGGGATGGGTTCGTCTCAACTTAGTTGATCGGGGCGTGCGCAAAATCAGCCACGGGAAGTGGGAAGACTGGCCAATGAAATGAACTTGGAAATGGAGCTCGGGTGCAGTCTTCATGCCCAAGTGAAAATTCCCGTAAAGTGACAGCGGCGACCAGGAATGCCAATGTAACCTTCCCGCCGCTTGTGTGGCCGGAGCAGAGGAATAAGCATCTGTCTATGATCGATCTAGAAAGTGAGAAGTGACGGGTTTGTCGAGGACGAAGGAAGGATTGCGATGACATCTCGGGAGATTTATCCCTAAAGTCAGCAAGAAGCACAGCGCTCGCTCAGACACATGGATTGATTCCCATAATGCGGAATGTCTCCACTCGAGCCTTACTAAGGTTGACGCCACTGTCGTAGGCTGCCTTAAGTCTTGAAATCGCTATGAAATGCCACAACAGAATTTCATATCGGTAACTCAGCCCAACTAACCTTGCCAAGTAAAATACTATACTAAGGTGGTACATGTAGGTATTTCTGTTAGTCCAAGAGTACAAGTTCCCACAAGACACGGCCAACGAGGAGAAAATAGATGAGAGTTCTTGCTATTTGTCCTCTCTCCAGCCCAGGATGGCAAGTCAACATTGAATGAAATCACTCCAAAGTCGCAATGCTTCCGATGTTATTTAGCCGTTATACTTGGCAGGACTGCTCACTAAGAACATGCCTCCCGTCACTTTGCCTCCGATTAACAGAAATACATGTAGACTTCGTTGCTCCTAGGAAATAGTACTATCTTGCGTGATCGGATAAGTCATCTAAGTCAGATTGGGGTCAGCGTGGCATCTAATACTCCGCCTTACCTTTTAGTAGAGGCGAAGTCTGGAGCCCATCGCAGATGTAATATAAGCCACATTTTTCTTAATCGGGTCTTAGTTGCCCACCCCTTCAACTTTGGGTTCTAAAAACAAGACTGGCCGACATAAGCTACGGGATCATGGCACAGCATGCGTGTGCCAGGTATTAGTATGGGCTGGGCAGCTAGGTCATAAAGTTCTTTCTTGAATCAACAACGCAGAATCTGTGTTGTGTTTCACGGTGTCTTGGTCGATTTGCATTCACATCGGGAAAATGAAACGTTTGAGGCAACACGCGCGAGCCTTTGTAATCTTAGCCATAGCAGTCACAACAAGATGAAAATGTTAGAGAGACATGCTGACTTGGAAATGAAAGGATCTGGACCAGCGGAGCTCTTGATGCCCTTTGATGATGGAATCCTCAATGATACGTGCGTATTCTAATCATCAGTCACAGTTCCTGAACCGAGTAATTGCCTAGCGACCTAAAATTAATCCGGACACTGGACGCATAAGACAAACCATTCGACCATCAGAGCAAGTAGAGGAAGAATTTCAGCTGAATACATTATGCTGCTGGGTTCCAGATGGGTATATAAAAACGGACGGCATCTGGAAGAAATTCGCATTCAGTCTCTAGCTCGTAGGCATCTGCTGGTAGATGATGCTTCATGGTATAATCTAACCTCGCCACGATTGCGTTGTCTTTGCTTTGAAAGAGACAATCAACAACCGCCAAGCAAGCACAAATGCCCCCCATAGACGAGTCGACGATATTAATGTTTAGAACTTAGTTATATGGTATAGGTATATACAAATACATGTAGTACATATATATGTAATGTTGGTAGACCTGTGCCCGTGCGATACAAACTCGAAGTAAGCGAGGTTTAGTATCAAAATCGCTTCACTTCTCGAGGCGCCCTTGGTGAAGGGTTTCCCACTGATTCAGATGTGGCCCTCTTCATTTCATATTGAATGAGAGTGATGACTTGAATCTGCTCGAAATCAGCCTCACAAAAACAGCTACTCCGTACACAACCCTGCATTGCACCCTAAGCCAGGTAGCAAAGCCTTTTCGCTAATGACGGCAGTAAATGCATGCGAGTGGTCGATATCCTGAGGTGCGATCAATCATCGTGGCTACGAGTTGCTCAAGTAGTTTCAAAAACGGTATTACGAAACGTGTGTTAATTCACTTGAAGGAGATGAATGGGTAAGGGCTGTTACCTCAAAGGTACTCCAGTCTCAAGCTCTCCGTATCGTGTCTTTTGAGGGTGGGGGGGGAGACTAGGCGATTAGAGATCATCAGATCATATGATCACATGTGAAGACATCGAAGTACACTGTAAAACTACTTCACAGGTATCCCATTACCGATACAGCTTACGATCCTGATAAAGTAAATGTGCAAGTGCCTCGAGGTTGCATACCGGAACTCGGACCATGTCATCATGATGACCAGTATTTCTCATGAGTTCTGAGGAATCGACAAGACGATGGATAGAGCCCATCATCAACGTGCGCTGTAGGCGGCCGCATACTTGGCGTCAGGGTGACGCAATTGTTCTGCAGGAATCATAGTCTGATAGCTGGAACATCATGTGTTGAAACTGTTCTGCGTCAAGAACCATAGCTAAGGTATTCACTGGGTTGAGATACAGCGGCTACATGGCTGGCTTCAGAGCGACGCTCCGGGTAGCCACTCCAACCCCCCTCCCCGGATGTTAGTTTGCGAGGAAGGCAGAACGGAGCTTGAAGACGTGGTATTCAGCACCCATAGGGTACATGTACATTGTATCAAGTATATTTATAGCCATGACCATGAAGGCCTTGGCCTTTGAGTGCCCGTGTTAACGTCAGACTTCTACCGATACATAGCCTAGCTCACATCAGATATGCTTGACCTTGGAGAACAAGATGGCAGGCCTGAAAAATGCAAATCATAATCCAACGCCATTTATATGCAAAAGATGATTTCATGGCCGTTATTAATCGCGTTTACTGTTGGCTGCCAACGAAGGTCTCGCTAGTCGCGTCACCAACAACAATGGTGACGTTGTAGTTGGAAAGGGTCGAGGACGAAGAGGCGCCGTACAAGCTGTACAGGCCTGCAGAGACAACGTACTTGCCAGCTGCGAGACCAGCAGGAATCGTTACCGTCTCGGTGATGTTGTCGAGGATGTTGGACTTTTCTGTATCATACGAAAGACGGGTTATTAGACGTCAATTACACAATAATGGGAAAGGTGCTGCGCCAAGACATACCAGGTCCGAGGTAAAACGAGCCCAGGACATTCTGGCCGAGGGTTCCGGGGTAGGCAGAGGCTTCGGGGGCAATGCCGAATGCAATGGCGATGTCCGCAACCGTCTGGATGTAGTTCTCGGTCTCGATGACGGCCTGGACCTCGTCGCCAGCCTTTACGGTCTCGGGGAAGGCGATGCCGTAGATGCGGGCGTTGGCCATGGCGAAGAGGCCGGTGGCGGCAGCAAGGGAAGCGCGGAACTGCATTTCGAGAGCGGTTGTAGATGATCGTATTAAGCTTAGTTTATTAGGTAGTGTTGGGTAGCTGCGAGTCTTGGAGGTTGTTTGAAGTGCGGTTGGTGGGAGTAAGAAGGGAACGATGCAGCTGAGGAGGGGTTTGTCTGATATTTTTAAGTATTTTCATCATAAACATCAAATGAACATGACGAGAGACCCTTGTCGTCTGTATTCCCATGTCTATTTTCGTATGATTCGACGTCAGGACCCCCAGAGAATATCTCCGTAGGCGAAAATCATCTGGGCATGACATCGTTGGCCCGCCCCGGGTCACCCGTGCCAGGCGAATGCACGGCTCCGTCTCAAGCGGATAGTGCTGCGGCTCGCGTCGCCATCTACGCTACTCCTCTAGGGCATGCTCAATGGCACGGGTAAACGGGCTGGGCAGTTGGAGCCAGTGCCAACATGATGTGAGCAAAAGCACTCTAGAATTCTTCCTATTCGATCTATTCTTGGTAGTCGCCGCCGCGACCAACATGTTGCTACTTCTGCCTCAAAGTGCGAGGAGGAGTCGGGTGCCGGTAAACTCTGGGTGAGAGAATGCCATGACTGGGGGGAAAAGGGGGGCCGCAGGGCGAAGCTGCAGGACACTAATCAAACCTTGGCCAAGTGCTCGACGCTGATCTGGTCGATCTTTATAAATAAAAACAACATCAATGAATTGAATGATGACCAAGGCTCGTATATCTCTTACAAGTTGCAATGAGCCGTACTAGAGGCAATGGCATTGGTCCGTTTAGGGCACTATGCAGTGGATGGCACGAGGTAAGCACGTAAGGTAGCACAGTAGTTTGCTTCTCTTCGGCTCAACTCGCTCCAAATAGAGGAGCACACGAGAACGAACAAAACCGCCGGACTTAGCTTCCCTTACGTCCATCACGGTAACGTTTCAGCGCCAACGAGCACCCTAACACGTCAGATGGTCCGGCTAGGAACGTCAGCGCTTTGGACAGTGTGGGCGGGAGGCATGGCGCAATAGAACACGGGCAACGGGCAACGGGCAACAGGCTATGGAAGAGGGCCGGGGAACCCAGCTAGAGATGCGCCACTTTAAGGGTCCAATTGCCGACAGTGCCCGCTTGCTTTCAGTGGGAAACAGCAACGCCTTCACGCAGGTTGATCGCGATTGAGTCTTCCTGAATGAATTTGATTGAGCCTCAGACTTCATTCATCTTGTCCTCACCCATATTGCATTCATCGAGATGATGTTACACGTTGTCCATGTCCAAATAAGTGAAATCCGTATCTTCAATTCCGCTCGACCCAGCAACAAGCCTATTGACAGACCTCACGCCACGAGTCAGAAAACGAGAACATTGTTGCATTTAGGTGTATTTGACATTACGAAAACAAAAGGATCATACCTTCGCAAAAACGCAAAAGATATATGTCGTCACCCACAGGATTCGAACCTGCGCGACCGAAGCCACTGGCTATCAGCTCTCCAGGATAGAAATCCCGAACTAGCAGGCCAGCCCATTAACCACTCTGGCAAGGTGACTAACTTATTGTTAAATTTTCGAGCCTGTCAAGTGGATGTTAATGCGATGTGCATGGGGCTACAACGACGAGAGATCCACAAGCCCCTCTGGTTGCTGGTATGCAAGGGGTATCCGTACAACAGTGACTGCATAAATGTGAGTGTTGGCTTTATGCAATCTACACACAATACGAAAGCTGCTGAACATGCACCGAAAAACACGAAGTCTTCGGACAATCCAAGTTCTATTTCCGGGTACGTATCGATTTTAAGTAATTCCAGACTGTGTCCAGACCGCAAAAGAACATTGTGTTAAACGCTGTCAGCAACCTATGCATCTGAGTTGTTTGACAATTTGGTACATTCGCACTTGGGAACCATCAATTCAACGCCCAGGTTGGCAATTGAGAGCAGTGAGTTGCTAAACTGTCGAGACATCTTCAAGACGTCACACAAGGGTTTCAATCTAAGAGTACTTGCACAACGCTACGTTAAACAGAGCCGTCAGCATCCAAGGACATTCCGTCTTGTGATTTATCATATTGCGGATTATCCGAAGATGAGGCACTGCCGTTTTCTAAAGACTGATGTACACCAGTAAGGGCATATGAGGTTCCTTATTTCTAGACGTAAAAGATCAACCTGTTTCCAGAGCGCATTCCTTTGTGTTCAGGAACATCGACTGGTCGTCGAGGATTTCAAGCTTTACTCTTTGTTCTATGTGTAGATTCTAGTCTACTACTTGCCCGTTTCGTAAAGCGTTGTAAGTAGATACTTCTATGTCTAGCCCTGGCTCTTTGAAATGCGGGACTTGAAGAATTGGGGGTAAACGTCACGAAGCTCTCGAAGATGTCGAATCTGAAACTGGGAAGCCTGCGTCTCGGGGACGGGCAACCCTCCCTCGACAAGGTGCGCGGCCATCCACCCGAGTTCTTTTGCGCTCTTGCAGTTATCGTAAGAATCATCTGCATGTTTTCAGTACAAGTCATCTCTTAAGAAAAGCCAGAAGGGCTGCGCCTCCGTGCCATTGAAGGGGGTCAATAGTCAAGAGCTTACCGACAAAGTAGCAGTCTTCCGAATTTTCAACTCCTGCCTGCTCCATGGCCCTGCGGAACATTTCCTTGGCTGGTTTGCAGACGAAGGGGAACTGGGCATAATCGCAGTACGTCAAACCATCAAATAGATCATCGACTTCCAGGAGTCGCACGACCCGTTTTCCGTGGTTGACGTAGGCATTCGTGAAGAGCCAGAGTTTGACCTTGCTGGTGTCGATATCCTCCAACAGCGCTCGGAGCTCTGCATCGGGCTTGAGGATGTCGTCGAGAGGTAACGCGTCATCCACCTTTGCGTTGAAGTCTAGCGGGTCTATTTGGTGGTGGCGGACCAAGCCTTCGATAGCGAGGCCGTATGTCTTGTAGTATTCTCTGGTCAATCTTGAGGCTTCCTCCTCCCCTAGCGACAAGTGTGTCACGAAGTATTGATCGATAAGCTTTGCCATGAGATCGTGGATTTTGTGGCCTAGGAAAAATGTGAGTGAGTCCGTTTGAATTAATATGATATTTGAGAATAAAAAGAGTTATTTTGCTTACTTCTAGAGTAAAGACAGTTGTCGATGTCGCTATTTCCTGATGAGTCAATACGCTTCCATCTGGTGAGCGTCTCAAATTGATGATTTATTGAGCTTACAAAAAGAAGACCGGCTTAGGAGTCGTAGCGCTTTCTTCTATCTTATTGCCCATCATGAACTTCTCGTCAGTTGTGGCTGTTGCTGAAATGTGTCCGATTCGAAGCTTAAAGTATGGATGCGATGGATGTGAAAACCCCGCGCTCGACTGAGATTGTGAGATAATGAAGGGTTCCGGAACACTTGCAGAGCCGCGGGAGCTACTTAGCATCTATAAATGGCCTGCGACAGAGACTTGGACACTGTTTGGGGTTAGCGTCTTGGAGGGATTTGCCCTGTGAATCCGTCATTGGAGGCTAGAGATCCACTGTGGTGTCTTGTGTCATGATACACTACCAACTTGACTCGTTCCTCCACGATTGTGCTGAGCAAAGCGCTGGAAATAGGTTGAGATGAGCTTGAAGTCTTATTCGCAAATGCACACTTCCGTCAAAATTCTCCGAATTGTATATCGAGGATGCGATTGTATCTTGTATGAGCTCTTGACTCTTTCGCAGTAGGATGCTTGTGCTCAGCACAGGTACTTGTCAGATCTATGACTCATTGTCCCGTGCCTCCAGCTGTTTGTTGGACACGATATAATACACCTCATGTATGGGAACATGAATGCATCAGAGTTACAGAATAGAGTAGAAAATGGGAGTTTGAGAATGGTAGCCAATTCGGCGTTAACACAGCCCGGGACCTTGCATGGAATCCTTGGATTTGTCTTCAGGGCACCTCTTACAACACGTTCTCTATACAAGCCCCGGTCCCGGAGGGAAAGGAATTCGTAACAATTCCTTTGATTACTTTCGTGGTTCGTTGATCCGCATGCACGAGACTTGTATCCAAAGAGATAGGCAGCAAGTATGTGGGAGGGTAAACGCTTAGCTTAAGACTTTTGTAAGCCGACTTCCCTTGCACTTGTTTGCAAAGGTCAGAGCCACGCGAAATGTATATACACTGAAATATCTAGAAAACATGTACAACCGAAAGAAGGATATATGCCACGCTCATCGCAGAACGCATGACCAATATTCACCTAGTGCAACCTCGCAACAACACCAGAGATGAAGCTACGGTAGGAGTAACGACGACCGCTTACATCAACAGTCAACAACTTACTATTAAAGATGTATAATTAGCAACAGCCACACTAGAGAGCTAGTCGGTAGTACTTACAGCAGTTCCGGCACTGTTGAAGGTAGAGCCGATGGGGCCAACCTTGATGTTGGAGAAGATGACGTTGGAGTTGGGGGCCTGGGACTCGACATCGGCGGGAACGCCAGAGTCGGTGCCGCAAGAGCCGCGAGCGGTGCCAGGGCCGGTCTCGTTGGTAGGGTAGGTGGAGTCCAGCCAGAGCATGTTGGAGTGGTGGTCATCCCAGACGGACATGACTAGAACCATACCCTCGGAGAGAGCCTTGCCCATCTGAGCAAGACCACCCTTCTGAGCAAAGACATCCTCGTCGCCGAAAGCCTTCTTCTGGGCGGTGCAGTAGTCGGTGGTGATGGAGTTGCCCTCAACGCCGGTAACGTCGGACTTGGAGTTGGCAAAGACCTTGCCGTCCTGGACGTAGAAGCGCTTGATGTCGGTCAGAGCGCCGCCAGTCTCGACGAACTGCGTGACGACGGTGATCTTCTTGGAGGTGTCGATGGCGAACTGGGAGCCCTTGCCGTAGAAGGTAGTGTTGCCCTGGCGGTAACTGTTGAAGTCGCATCCATCGGGGTCGCACTGGCCAGCGTAGCGGGTAGAGCTGTAGGTGCCTCCGCAGGCGTCGCCGCTGCAGCTCAACTGGCCGACTGTCTCGCAGGGGTGAGGGGTATAAGCGGTGGAGACGGAGTTGGCTTCCCAGATGTCCATCTCAGAGCAGCACGAGCCCATGGTTCCGACGCCGGCATTGGCGTCGTTGGATGAGGGCACCCAACCCTCGACGTTGGCCTTGCCGTCGATGAACTTGAGGTCGCGGGGGCACTGGCTGTCGCAGTAGCCGGTTCCGTGGGAGGCACCGGCCTTGTTGGTAGGGAACTTGGACATGCCACCGTCGGCGTCCATGGAGACGAAGTACAAGGCGCCGTTCAGACCGCACTATGATCGCCGTGTTAGTCAAGCTGTTGCTTCCTTGTTCCCTAGGTAGAGTTGAGGCCTCTTCACTTACACCAAGGTTGGAGACATCGACGTCAAAGGTGAACTCTTGGCCTAGAAGCTTGAACATTTGGTACTTATCGGTCCCGTCCATGAGGAACATGCGAGAGCCAATGTTCTTGCTGTAAGGGCCCTGCTGGACAAACTTGAGGTTGAGGGCATCGCCGGTGGTGGTGGCGCCGTAGGTGCCGGAGTAGTCGGCTCCGTCCAAGCAGCACTTGGAGGCACAGTCCTCGCCGGTGGAGCAGATAGAGGTATCCCACTTGTTGCCGGTGTAGCAGTTGGTGCTGCCATCCGTCTTGTGAGTCCAACGCCAGTTGGCATCGACGGTAACGGAACCGTCGACCGTGGTGCAGGCGCCGCCGGCCGCGCAGTTGGACCAGGTGAGTGCAGGCTTGGTCTCCGCGTTGAGCGTGCAGACCTGCTGCGCGCGAACAGCGGCCACGAGGGCCGTGAGGGCAGAAACCTTGGTCAACATGGTGGTGATGATATATCTTCGGACGTCAAGTCGATAAAGAATGGATGGGAGAATCGATCGGAAAAAAGAGTGTGGGAAGATGATCAGACGGGTCTGAACATAAAAGAATGAATGGGAGTGCCGGAAAAGAATGTCGCGAGTGGCTTGGGATGAGGAGACGAAAGCCAAATGTTGAGCGGATGGCCTCGGACACATTATATAGACTCTCACATACTGTTTCGATCTCCCGTTCAAGGTTAAACTATCATGAGATGGTTGCGCTTAGCCCCTCTCTTCCCACTTCCTTCCAAACTGCTTAATTTCCGTCCAGGGGCTTGGGAGCTCCTGCGAGCGGCTCGGAGTGAGTCGTGATGTATTCAATTAGGAACAGTAACCCGGGATGTATCGGCCATTGGAGAGTTGATGATTGTCTAGTGGGCCTGGATAGGCAAGATCGGATGTCTTCCCGCCTTGCCTAAGTCTGTCTTGAGGGCCCGGGGCAGGTGGGATTGGACGAACGTGGTCAGAGTCCATTTCTTGGAGACTTGAAGAGACCAAGGCAGACCAAGCCCGCTGGGCGAAGCTTGATCGGGGAGGGGCGCAACTTGGCTCTCTTGGTTCTCTCGTGGCAGCCGGTTGCAACATATTGATTAATTATCACAAGGTCGAAAGGGCCAGTGACGCTGGGGTAGGGAGCTGTATGAGCGAGTGAGCAGAGCACATGTTTGCCGCAACCCGTCGTGAGGTGACATCGTGTGTCTTCTCCGCAAAGTCAAGCGAAGCCAAGTTGGGGTCTATGCAAGGGGCACCCGGGCGGAATATCTCCCACCGCCCTCCGTTTGGGAGAAGCGCCTCCATGCGATTGGACAAGTAATATCCGCCTTCCCTGCTCAAGCCGGAGGGCACGGCATTTACTGAGCATTACCGAAGCTACTGATGCGGGTGTGACGGCGTCAACTTACCCCAACAATCAACTTATTTGCGGCACTGGTAGCGTTGGTCTCAGTTAGACTACGGTAGGCAAGCTATCGAGAAAGAGTTGCTTGTTCAGCAACCTAGCATGGAGAAAAGATTTAGGACCCCAGTTTACCAGCAAGACTTCCTAGTTTGCTTCATCCGCTCGGCCGCAAATAGTATTTGCCTCAATCTTTCTCACTAGGAACTCGGCCCACTATCTTGCACAGTCATCCAACGTGGGGCGCTGAACCGCCGACATGCGGTCAAAGTTGGCAATGCCCTCGAGTCTTGGCTCACCACTTTTAGATTCAACGGCAACCACGAATGTGACCATACCCGTGTCTTCAGGCTTGTAAATGCGCCCGAGGAATCACTTTGTCTGAAAAGAAACAGAGTTGGGTTCTCTTTATCCCATTCCTCAATTTTCCCCCTTAGTCTAATTTACTTTTTGACCCCCTTTTCCTAGTCAGGTCATGCCTGTTTCGCGGCTTGATGCTGCCGGTAGTGGGACCGTGGGCCTACGGAGCATCGCACGGAACGACGGACCGTGAAAAGCAGTCCACCTATCGGAGACGCTCAGCCGAGTGCGGTCCTGGTTTTCTCCCGTGTACGGAGCTACTCAGTCGAGGTGTACAGATTCATTACGTAGTTAATGCTACTCTAGATACCCATATTTCAAATCTCTATCTCTTGCAAAAGTCCCATGGTTCTTCCAAATTCCAGGCCCCGGGAATCTATTGCATGCAGAGAGCCTCGAAAACGCTATTGTCATTGATGCGTGTCACGGAGGGTATCGTACCGCATTCTCGGACTGTTAATGATCAGCCGCAATTACCTCCACCTGCCTTTGCTGTGGTCATCGAAGCTTTGCGGCTCTGAAGCTGACGGCTTGGCCTCGCCTTGGTAATGCAGGTAGGTCAACGTTCATGTCGTGGTTCAAGAGAGAAACCGACTCGGAGATTGTAGGCTCGGTCTCCTCTCTACGAGCGACTTGGACTCTCGGAGCCGAAATGCAAAACTGTTCGGATGTAGTTCCATTTTGGCATGGATATCGCATCGTCTCAAGGCTAGAAATTTGGAACTATACACTGACGGAACGTGAAGCCGTAGGGTGGAGTGTCTCTGGATATATCGTCTGTGAGTCGGATAGTGGGCAGCATTAAGCTTCGTCCCACGCTATCTTACCGTCGAGCCGATAACTCAGGTGGATAACTAGTAGCAACTCTAGATCACGGATGGTGCCGCGCCGTTGGAACTATGAACAAAGAAGATGAAGCTTATCCAAAATAGATTGCTCGAAGAGTTCTATGCTGCTGTAGTAGTGCGTTGGAACACGGGTACGATAGGCTAAGCCTTGTCGACAGAGGGTGACTTCAGCAACGTTCTGAGCTTATGAGGTAGTCAGATACTTACTATTGGCGGGGTGAAGGCAGTGTAGCCACCACGAAGCTTGAGGCCCGAGACTTTATATACTGTTCAGCTCTGCTCTCAGAGTTGAAGGGGCGAGCGCAAGCTGAGGAAAGACCTATTCTGTAGGGCAAGTTTGTCCGACGAAACATCCCTCTTTGTCAGTTACTTGTCAGGCTGCGAGTTGAAAGTCAACCTTAAGATCGGCCGTTTGTTTCGTCACAGAAATCCCCCGACTCTTGATTGCACCATCCACTGTAGTGGTGCAAGCCCTCCGACCAAGGTTGACGTTCAGAAACAGAACAGGCAATCATGCTCAGCAAATCAAACGGGCAAGAAAGGTTGGTGTGCTACACAGGCGTGACTGACTCTCTCATCTCACTGGGATCTACTGTGCATCCCTTCTCGACGCACTGCCGATTGGACTAGATGAGAGGACGAGCGGACAGAGTTTTGCAGATTGTCAGGTTTCCCCAGTCTGTCGGCGAAACGGTTGAAACGATGACTGGGAGAACAGACGCCGAGCGATTTCCGAGCAGCAAGCAAGTGTTCCGTTCTGCATTGATGGGATTCAGCAATAACGAGCCTATTGTTGCGATGCGAGAGCGACAATAATCTACGTGATCTTCCCAGGGAGTTCCAATTCTCCAGTTGATAGCAAGTGTGGATTGCAATACTTTTGAGGAATGCATTTAAACTATGATTGACTTTCGATCATACGCAAGGTACCAGTGAACTGTGCACCAAACGCAGAAGGGTCATTCCATACACCACACTTGGTACGGAAACTTTAATGCAACCAAAGACGGTAAAGGAATTCTAAAGGTATTGATGACTGAGTTTCGAGGCTGCTCAACTTTGGCAGTCCCTCCCAGTATCCACCGACCGGACTGACAGAGGGGGATCTCCATGCTTTCCCCCGCCAGCTAACGTAGGTCCTGAGGTTGGTGTCTAGACTCATAGTTGAAGCCAAGAGATCTAAACCCGCTTGTAAGGCTTAGCATATTGCAATACTCAAACCTTGCAGAAACGTCGCAGGAGGAGCGCTGTCGCCCCTCGAATCACACAAGTGGAATCATTGGCATACACACGTAGATCAATCACTTGTGGAGGGAAAGTCTGATAATATGCGCTGCCAAGAACAATCACCCACACCAACGCACATAGTAATAGGCCGTCGGTGGTCAAGAGGGGTTGATAGAATTCATGTTATGCAATACGGTGCCGCAGACTTTCCCTCCCTTAAACTCCCCGGTCGAAACATTGCGGATACCTACATCGCACTTTGGAACGCCCCTTGTGGCGGACCATTTGTCTGGGGATTCTCTCTTATCTTTCTGCAAAAGGGAAAAATAGGAAAACCAGGAAACCGGAGTTGAACGCTTTGTTCCTTCTGACCTGTCTTGCTTGTATCAGCACTGGTGGGATTGCCACATGTTTGTAGCATTGAATCGCCGCCTCGCATTCCCAACTGAGAAACTGCATGTTCCCCCAATCGTACGACCATGCGCGAGGCCTTATCCGGCCGGCCCTGCATCGCTTACTATCCGTAGCATCTGTGCGTTTCAGCACGGGACTCTTCGAACACGCCGACGTGGGCGGGTTGATGGGTGGGAGGGAAATAACGGCCTATGGTTTGTTTAACACCGGGCGAAGGGCAAAAAAGACTCTAGGAACTCCACCAACTCGGTTTCAGGAACGCAAAGTCAAGTCCTTTTTTGGGACGCACAGCTCGGCGGCAGGCCCCGGTCTACTGCATATTGGTGAAAGGACCCGAGAGAATGCGGGAGAGGAATTCCAGCCTCTGTGCGAGCGTCTCGGATTCGTCGTCATTGCCGTATGTGGTTGGAATTCGGCGAATTTGCTGGGCAAAGTCCTCATCCCCACCTTACTGGTACTGTTCATTTTTCACTATCATCAGTCATTGCAAAAGAGCACAGCAGACGGTTAGACATCAAACCATGGCTATGAAATTTTTTTATAATGTGTACACACAAGTAAAGAGTAAAAAAAGATGTATTGGGTGTAAAAAAAAGACTCGCAACCGCTCTCCAAGGTCTCCGCAAAGCAAAGCAAAGTAAAGTTTGCCGCTTTTGCCCTTCTTCCCAAGTTTTGAATTCGCCGCGGTTTTGTGTGTCTCTGTGCGCTCGCTCAACAAAGAGGAATGTACTTGTAAGTGAGACTTTGAATTAAGAGGAAAAACCACAATTTGACGACCACCACGTGAAAAAGGAAGAAACGGCTCAGAGCGCTCGTCTACCATCAGCAAATGAAGCTGAAACTTCTCATTCTAAGCAGAAGATCCCCTTCATGGCATGACCTCGGGCTGGAAGTCGGCACCGGGCACGACGTAGCGCTTGGCCCACCGAAGGGATCCGTTCTCCTCACGCTTGGCGGCTCTGCCACGCTTGCCAGCCCGGCCCTTGCCGCGAGCACGTCCGTTGCCGCCGGCGTTTCCGGCATTGCCGGCGTTGCCGTTGTTTCCAGCGTTTGCGTTGCCGTTGCCAGCGTTGGCATTACCGGCGTTGGGGTCAGCAGCAGGCGCGGCGGGAGCAGCGGCGGTGTTGCCTCCGGTCTGGCTGGGGCCGGTGTTCTCGACGGGGAATTCCTTGACAGTGACGGGGGGAGCGCCCAGAACCTTGTTGGCGGCGTCAACGGCGGCCAGCTGCTCGGGGGTTCCGTCCTTCTGGTTGGCAGCAGCAGCGGCGGGGAAGTCCACAATATCCTGTTGGACCTGCTGGAGAACACCCTTCAACTTGGCGCCGGTCTGGATGTTCTGGGGAGTGTTCTGAGTAGGGGTGACATCGGTCTGCTGGACAGGGAAGCAGCCACCGAAGGGACCGGCGACAGCGTTGTTACGGCAGCGGACAGTGCAGACGTTTCCGGTAGAGGCTGTGCATTCATATTAGTATTGATGACGCGTTGTCAAGTTTGCCCAGCTACTAACCTCCAGTGCACTTCATGTCAGCAGGCATCTTGACGGTGACGTTGAACTGCTGAGCCTTTGCCTGGGAGAAACCGTTGGTGCCGGGAACGTTGTTGGTGACCTCGAGGGGGATCTGGCCGGTGCCGGCAAGTGAGTTGCTGGTCTGGTCCAAGTCGCATGAGAAGGGGCCGGCGCCATCGGCGTTAACCTGGTGGATGGTGACAGTAACCTCGCCGCCCGCCTTGACCTGCGTAACCTGGTTCGCTGCCAGGGCGTTCTCGGTGTTCTCGCCAATGTCGATGTTGCCAGCAATCTCGGTGCGTCCGCACTCGTTGACGACGTTGGAGTTGATCTCGGCATCACGAATAATCGTAGCATCTTGCTGGCAAGGGTTGATCGTCGTGCAGTTACGGGCGATGTTCGGGTCGACTGATTTTCAAGGTTAGTATCGAAGATCGTGATATCCTCCCGCTCGTTCCTCCTCGGCGCAAAACATACCCAGGAACCCGACACTAGCAGGTGAGCCGGCGTCTCCCTGAGCACCGAGAATGGCAGCGTGGCCATGAGCAACGGCCAGGAAGGCCGAGCCGATTACAATATCCGTGAAAGAAAGCATCTTGTCTCGCAGAGACTAAGTCGGAATGTGCCAGCACGATTAAAGGAACGAAGTGAAGGGAGAAGTGAAAAGAAGAGAAGGAAAAACAGAAAAGCCCGGTGAAAGAGCGTAGGCGCAGAGGAGGATGATATGATGTGTGGGTAGAGAGAAGGGAGAAGGAAACTTAAACACGAGACGACGCCGTGAAAAGGTCGTCTTATACGAAGGCTCGCGGTCGAGGACCGAAACGACGCAAACACTGCCAAACGTCGACCAGCCCATGATGTACGCTGATCTGCTCAGATCATCTGCAACACCTCTTGTCGCAAGGCTGTGGTGCTGGGCGGAGTCGCGACCTAACCCTGAACCCGACGTACCTTGGCAGATGGAGGGTTGGGGACCTGAAGGGGGTGGTGGTGGTGCTGTGTGGTAGGGGGGGGGGGGGGGGGGAGGGACGAGCCATGGAACCTTGGGGGAGGTTAGGACCTCACTTGAGGTTGAGGAGGAGGTGAGTGGCCACCAGTATGAGCAGCTGCCAGCAATAGAATGGGCACCATGGTGCAGTTCGCGTTGGTTCGAGACCTGGTCAAGCGGCCGGTAGCGAGGCGGTTGGAGGAGGCTCACATGGGGCCCTAGGGGCATATGTTGAGTGACGGTGGATCTGGAGGAGGGTTTTGGCTCGGGATCCCTGTCGATTGACGGACATAGTGACGGCGAGTCAACCACTAGTTTTCATAAACGGCGACTAGCCGTGTTTGGCAGGGCCGAGACAGATGGAAAGAAAAAGGTCGGACGATTACGCGCTGGGGGGGGCGCTGTTCTGAAGAGGCGAGCGTGTTTCACAGAGCATTAGGAGATTCCCTAGTAAGCAATTCTGACAACGGCAGCGGACTGCAGACTTCCTAGTCGACGGTCGATGGAGGAGGGCGGGAAGCCTGGCGAGAGTTGAAAGGTTGCGGTTTGCTCACTGAACTCTGGACGCTTTGAGCAACGATTTCGCATACGGCCCTGTTCTCTCCCGGGGGTCAGCGCTGTCCCATTCGTCTGTTTCCCAGGATAGTCCCATCTCTTCTCGGCTCAAAGGGGGTCACAGACTCGAGGAGGTGATACAGACGCCAAGCACAAAGGCACCAAAGCGCGCATACGACAGCCAGAAGCGGTGCCGCGGCGAGACGGGCGAGGTAAGCCGGCTCTCACGCTCTCTCACTCTCCTCTCGTCACTTTCAGTCTCTGGCGTCTCCCAGTCTCGCTCTTGTTTTCTCTCTTCGTCTCCTTACCCCCCTTCCCCTCCCCCTTTCGTCCCATTCCTGAGGCCTTGACGTTGACAGGCGCAAGCGTGGGCTCTTCCCGACGCGGGTAGGAAGCAGAGAACGTGGGAACTCGTCTGGTGTATTACCCCCATTCTGAGACTCACGCTCGGAGACCGGCCGAAGCAGGTCGCCATTGTAGCCCAAAAGGAGCCACGGACGCGCGACGGGACGGGCAATCCGTCAGATCCAACCCAGATCGTGGCGCACAAGCTAGTCTGACAAGTCCGACGGACGAGAAGATGGGGGAACAATTTGTTCAGCTGAGCCTCATTTTGCTTGGTCCTTGGTGATCAGCGTTACTGATAGGTAAGACGAGCAACGTTCGGGAGATCAGCTTCGACTCGACTTGCTTGATATGTAGCCAAGACTACTTGGCTCCAGTAAAGAGCGTGGAGAGAGGGTTGGAGTGCAGTGCATCGAGCAGAGAAGCCCTACCGATAGTGAACTCTGTTCTTGGTGAGTCTGGGGAGCAATCTATCTTCTCCCACCGGCATCCCCGTATGCCACTTAAGGTACAATTTAGCGGACGGGTACCTGAAGGCTTGCGAGCGTACCTTGCATGGGAAGTGTGGGAAGGGACATGGAATACGTTTCCCTCGCGTGCCTCGGGGTAGAGGCTCGGAGTGCCGCACCGGCAAAGCAGCTCGCTCTTCTTTCCGCCAGTCCAAGTCCAGAAATTTCTCTCCTCTCTCACAGTCTCACTCTCTAGGTATGTGTCTCTCCTTCCGGCGAGCGGTTCCGCGTAGATTGCCAGCCGCTGGCACCACTACCCTAAAAATTCTCCGCGACGGAAAGGAGACGCGCGAGATCCACAAGATTGCTGCAAGGAGTCATCTCATCCCTGCTTGCGCCTAGGATCTTTAGACCAGGATCTCCCCTTCACGTTTCACCCCTGGCCCACATCTGGAAGCCAAGAGCAGGTGTCATTCGATCACCAGCAGCCTCAAGTGGGTGGGCTGCGTCGAGCGAGAGGGCAGGAGACTGGTCACTGGAGGTGGAGGGGGGGGATGGACGCAAAAGAAGGGACGTTTCGAGACGAATCTGAAGCATCGACATCGAGCCATATGAGAGTAAAAGGGGATAGCTCGGCATTTTACTCTGAGCCTGTTCTGTGTCGTCACTCGTCGCTCGCCAACAGTCTGGCTTCTGATATCCACAACCTCTGGTCTCGCGACCGGGCCCCCGTCCTCCGGGGTGTGAAATAAATCATAATGGGATTTCAGATGGGATTAATCTCGTCTCGCGCTGCCCTCCGCAACCGTAAAACCTTAGTGCTCGTCTCCCATCTCTCAAATAGCCCGTGTTGCTCACACATATTACTAACCTATTACCTGCAATGTCCGCCCCTCCGCCGCCTCCCGCCAGGAACAACTCCTGTTCGACCCGCCTGCAACCTTATGCGACTGGTCAATAGTTGATAATGTTAAACGGGTGCATCCTCGGCGGGAAGCGATGCATCAACCTCGCAGATTACCTTTTTTTACTTGCATGCAACAGCCCCGATGTAATTGTTGTCGCATCAATCTCATCAGTGTTTGACAGTTCTCACTAAGATACTCCCTTGTTCTTCTTGTCCTTGGCCTTCCATGCTTGGTCAGCGTCGGGATGAACCGACGGGCTCGCAATATGCTTCCGGGCCTCCTCTTTTTGCTTATAGCCTGAGTTGAACCTTTTGTCTCGTTCGCCCACGTACTTGGCAAAGTCCAATTGGCCTGGCTGGGTGAAGCTTGTCATGAGTTGCGGTTCGCCCAAGGGCAGCTGGTGGCCCTTGTCGACCTGCCAAAGGTGGAAGACTTTGCCGTACAACTGAACGACTTGCTCCATCTCCTTGTTCTCTGCTGCCTGCCATGCCAAGTCCGGCAGCTTTCCCTGTGGCATGATGAGCATGCCTGACTTGACTTCGTACACATGACTGTGCCAGAGCTTGCGCTCCTCTGATTCCAACGTTTCGTAGAGTTTGGGGGTGATCATGTACTCGATGCCTATGATGCGTGCGTTCTTCTCAGGACTATCGTAGAGGATGCATTGGCGGATGTCTTCGTTCAAGTGTCCACAGTAATGGTTCGCTTCGACGACGCGGCTTGGGTCAGAAGCGTATGCGTGGAAGGCGTTGAGGTGAGCGCAGACGTTGCTTAATGGTGCAAAGTCCTAAGCAGATGTCAGAGACCGTGACATGATGGTAGCTAGTAAGAGGACTAGGACTTACTTGCACTATTGAAGCACCAGCATTGAGCACTTGGTTCTTGGTGCTGATGGTATCTCCGGCATTTGTGGCCGGCTTGGTCGCCATCCTGTTCGATAAGCGAGATTGCAGTGATGCTGTAAGTAAACACCTGCTCGATTCGTTCAAGACCCGGGGATTCGCACGTGTGGCTAATGTCAGAAGGGATCTCCTAGATTGATACAGCAACTGTTGTCGATATCTTGCGTTTTCCCCTCATGCTATTTGGGGGGGGGGGGGGGGGGGGTTCGTACGCTTTGACAGAACCCGAACATCCCCTCTTGACGTCATCAACGCGGTTTCCGCGCTCTATTTTGTGGCTACAATTTCATCATTATTGCGGCATCGAACAATGAGACGGAAACACCAACTGCATCTCGGGGAAGGGAGACCTGCAAATGCGGGCAGCTGCACGGGCAGGGGGGAAAGAAGAGGCGCGGAGCATTGTCTCCTGCCCGTCCACGCCGGCCACGTGCGGAGGCGGCGGGCGGTCGCCCCATTTTCCCGGCGCGGTTTCTCCGGCGCGGGTCTTCCCGCCTTAGCCTTAGCTTGTGCTGCCGGACTCCGATCGGTCGGCGCCGAGGAGGGGCAGAGCCTGTCGGCCGGTGGAGCGGAACAATGCCCTGTGCTCAGATTCGCGTCGGTGATCGACCGTTCCGACTGGCGTCGCAGTCAATCATCTCCACCAAAAGTTTGAAACGGCTGCTGGCCTGACTGGGCTGTGGAATGGTACGAGAGAACCGCGTAAGCACCGATTTGCGCAATAGCGGTTTCGAAAAGGCCAGAGATTGTAACGAGATAAGATGCTGTGCTTGTCGCAGCTTTGACTGCAACTTGAACATGTCTAAAAGGTTTTTGGTTCGCTTTTCCCTTTCTTTTCTTACTATCAAGGACTATCTGACCTAGGTAATATGTTCAGAAAGTACCTTGAGTGCAGCTTACTTGTCAAATCATGTATATTGTCATCTACCTGCACTGCAAAAGACTACACCGAGTCATTACAGATACTCGCAAAACGATCACCAAGTCAATTCCAAAGTGATCCATGATACCTCCTCACAGACACTGATATCCGTACTAGAGCCTAGTGAGCAGGCTACCCTCCTATACGTGATGTCTGTAGGCTTGCCTCGAGTAAGACTAGACGCAGAAGATGCAGCCACAGCTGAAGTCAAAGCTACAGTCGCGCTTGTGTACGTCGGGGTACGCGGCAACGATAGCATCGACATAGTCCTTGCTGAGCTTTATTGAAGTTGTCTGACCCTCGGGGTTGGGTGCAGCCAGAGCGAGAGACGCCAGAGTAACAGCGACGGTTGCGATGAACTTCATTTTGACTGAAAGCAAGACTTCTGTGAAGCTAAGTCTGTTAGTAAATCTAAGTGATTTTTTTTTCTTTCATGATTGAAAATATTGAAGGAGATATTTGGGATGCACGTAATCCCAAAATGACTGGACTTACAATTTTAGAGTAGGATTAAGGATTGAAACTTAAAGCTAGTGTCTAGACCTTTTTAAAATGGCTGATGGCTAGAAAGATCTGAACTGTACCTTTTGAATTGAGGATTCCATTCCCTTTTATACATGATTGCATTGATACTGCTTTTGCTTCGAATCAACAGTCTGTCGCCTGCGTCAATAAGTATTTCGAGCGTTTGAAGTCCCAGCCGTGAGACGCACAGATCTGCCGGCCAGTGATTTGCAAATGCGTCTGAATCCTTCAATCAAACTTGATTCCACGAATAGGAATACTTAGATTATACCGCTAGGATAGGTCTTCTTCGAGTGCTGATCGTGTGACTTTGGTCGCCCATCTACTAGCTCGTCTAGTATTGTCACTTTGAACTTGACAAGACCTGAGTTGAGGTGGGTGAACAGCAAAATCTACTTCACCGTGGGACTTTCACTATGTTCTTCGCCTATATTCGCGACATTGATAAGTGCTTCCCGAATGACCACTGTAAAACCATCTCACAGGCTCGTACATCCTCATGCAGTAAGCCTACATGAAGCTCGCTTACCCTATACCAATCCGTGAGCCGCCAAGACCACCCTAGGAACTTTAAAGAAGGATTGAGAAGAATCATCCCTGTTCATTCGTGGAATCGTTGAGAACCGTAGGATTCAATGTTGCCATTGATGACTTCATGATTGATCCTCAAGTCGTCGTATTAAGATGGCCGGGTTCAACGAGGTCGAGTTGTCCAACGTGACAAGCGAATGGACCAGAATTCGGGTCTCCGCATCGATATTGGAGGAATCAGACTAGACATGATTCTATAACGCGGAGTTGTGAAAGGGAATTCAATTGAGAAGGCTGGTTCTTGCATCAAAGCCTCAGAACTTCTCAGACTTACACTTAGGTAGGGCAAGAAACAAGAAGAGGTTATGTAACTCAGTAAGGGATGTCCGAGGTCCCGGCTTGCCTTGAAGATAGTCGGGTTTTCACAAGTGCATGTATCTATTTAGTTCTGTCCGGTCTCTCTACGGCAGTTATGCTTCTTGATGTGTTCACAAAATGGGAGAGTTGTACGAAGAGCACGATAGCAGTCTATCTTGGCCATGGACCTCGCTCTCCACGCCTTGATATTAACCCGGTCCGAGTACAGTTCTTTTCCATATCCTCTTTTTACTCGGATGATTTAGAACACTGTAGAGTACACATGTGTGGACGTAACAATGTCGCCATGGACCTCAAGCAAGCAGCGCTACTGTACCGCCGGAAAGCCTCAAAGGAGACCATCCAGAGTTCAAAAGTAACGTGCCTTGTAGATGGGGTTTGAAGTGTTAAGGCCTGAACTCAGTAGCTTTTGTTGTCTCCTCAGACCTTCGACTATGTACTTTATAGATATACAGGTAGAATGAAATACTCAATAAACATAGAGACCTAGAGCAAGTAAAGGCCATAGGCCTAGGTCAGAAATGAGACGCTACATGCGTCTCATTCAAGAGAGGCTCTCAAGTTCGTGAAGTCTGTTTGCAATTAGACCGGCATGTCTTACTTTTGAGGAGCATATTTTCTGCTGCCGACACTGAACGATCTCAAACTTAGCCCCTCTCACCATACCATCTGCCGGCCCATCAATCATATGCTCTGTCGCTATCCTATCGAAGGGGCTTTCACCGTTTGCAAACTTTCCACAAATCACATTGGCCGAGAATTTGACGAGTAGGTATCCTCTTGCTCCTCTGCGCTTAAATGCCAGCCACCTATCAATGCCCGCTTTGTCAGCTGTTGTCGACAGCTCTTTGATACATGACTCGCTCACGCTGACTCTTCGTATCAACTACTTCTGTGCTGTGGCCCGCGCCCTCGAGCTCTTTATCTGAGAGATCCTCCAAGATAAGAACCCTTTCTTCACAGAACAAAAAAGAAACCACTTTACGCATCGAAAGTTCAGTTGGGAAGTCTATAGCGTGGGCATCGGAAAATATTCCGACTATCCGCAGCCACTCAGCATATCAGGGTTGTCAGCCCCCTCGTGCCCTGGGAAATGTCTCGCAAACCCCTCATCTCCGCTCCGCTGCCATTTATGACATGCTCAATTCACCGTCCGCCCTAGGCTTATCCTGCGGAGGTCTCCACCCCGCAGATCAACCACCGAACAACACCGCGTACGTGAGACGTCAGTCGCTCGCCAGCAGAGTCATTTCCAACGACTCAAGCCCTGCTTCCAGGTCTTCCAGAAGGTCTCGCACCCCCCATTTCTGGATTCGTCCGCCTGCAGAGGGTGTGGTCGATCTACATAGATGAAAGGAAACAAACCGTTGGCAGCCGGATGAGGTGAGTCGCCCAACCTCGCGGGCCCCTTTGCAGACGCGGGAAAGAGAGGGCGAGCTTACTCGCTCGGCGCTGTGCGTGACCGAAAAGAGAACCCAACTTGAGATCCGACAAATATTCCCCCGAGCAGGTCCCTTCCCAACACGGCCATGTCCCAGAAACCAACAAGCTTCGCTTGTGACCGGTGCAGGGCGGGGAAGCGTAAAGTAGGTCGCCCCGGTGCGAAGAAGAACTCTCCCAAAGTTTTGCTCCATTCTAGACTCCATTCTAGACCCCACGGGGAAGGACCAACTTCCCCGAGCTCCCTTGCTAGTCTCTTAGTCCTTTCATGAACTGCCATGACTAACGAGTTTCTCCCATCGGCAGTGCGATGCTGCCCGTCCTGCATGCTCCTTGTGCAGCAGGCAGAACAGGGAATGTGTTTACACTGAACAACGCCCCAGAAAGTTTGTAACCTGGTTACTTGTGGTTCACCTCGACTAGAAGCAATGCTAAGTAACAACCGGATCATGTCGCTAACGTAATCATCCAGACGGAAATACTGGGATGAGGACTACGTCAGAGCCCTCGAAGCCCAAGTACAGTCGCTGCTCTTGGCTCTAGAAAAGCAAAGCGCCGAGAAGGACTCGTCGCCGCCGTTGTCTCTAAGCGACCGTGCATCTCACTCTGCAGAGCCTGATGTCACTCTCAGAGAAAGTCTCGATGGCGGTGATGCCACTGAAGGTCTCGCAGTCAGCGGCAACGACGGGGACGTCAAGGACGTTGTCTCCATAGAAGACCATGGAGATAGTGCAAGCAAGGACTCGGGGACACAGGAGAGGTCTCAGATGGCAATGGAAGAGCTCTGTGTAATGCTATGGAGAACAAACGTCGGTGACGGGGTAACTATCATCGACGACCCTGCCACTGGGTCTCACTACTCAGTCGACCCCATACAGCCGGCTGTACCGATGGCCCATCAAGTCATCCCTCCAGAACAAGTGCTCGTTTACTGCCGGCAAAAAGGCCTTATACACGAGATGGCGGGTCTCTTCTTGGATAACATCAACCAAGAACACCAGTTCACGCCCTACACGACGACCGACTTTCTCCACAGCTACCCTTACCAATCTCCAGATGAAGTCTTCTTACACAGTGCCATCATAGCAACGGGTACAACCTTTACACGCAGACCCGACGCCACCCTCATAGGAGATGCATTCGCGCAGTTTGCAGAAAGCCTCATCTTCACCTGTTGCAGGCAGAATCCTACACTCAAGGTCATCCAGGGGCTGTCCATGATGTCCTGGCGCTCATTGGCCATGGGGAGAGATCACTTTGGCTGGATGTTCATTTCCATGGCCGCCGGCATGTGCGTACATTTGAGACTGCACGTCCTGGCGCTAGACGAGTGCGAGGCCAGGCAGCTGGAGGCTACGGAGCAGGAGATTCGCACTTTTTGGATGTTTTACATCATTGACCGGACAGCCATCTCTATTCTCGGCCGTAACTGTGCATTGCCGTGGCGGAGAGTCAACGTGCCAGACTTTGAGATGACTTTTGAAAACTCGAAGGCGGGTCTAGGTCAAGTTTCTTTTGCATGGCAGTGCAAATTGTGGTATCTACATGACCAGTACATGGATCAGGTGTAAGTACTGCTTCCTCCGTCTTCCACACAAGTTTCAAAAGGGTGACTATTGACAATCTCAGCTTCTCAACAAACTTCGAATCTCTACCGATATCACAACAAGTACGCATTCTCGTAGCAAGCCAGGACGCACTAAGCGCCTTCTTCCGATCCCGCGATGACAGGCTCCATCTATCGGGCGACTCGACCCCGAAACCAGTCATCCAATTCCACTTGGCCTACCAAATGACAATACTCATCACTATGCCACCTTTTCTCCGCATCTTCGTTGCAATCTCACAAACCTCAGAGACAACCGAGCCCGGGAACACCACTAACAGCAAAAGACAAAACACGGAATTCATGCTCCTGGTCCTTCGCTCCCTCACCGCAGCAGCAACCGCAACATCCCGCCTCGTCCGGACCTACCGCCGCGCCCACGGCTTCGACACCTCCCCGAACCCAGTCATCATTCACCACCTCCTCAGCGCCGCGATCGTGCACCTCATGAACGCGACCAGTTGGACGCCGGCGCTACGGCATCAGAGCACGTACTGGCTCCGACAGTGCCTAGAGCTGCTGCGCGAGCTGCAGGTCTCGTGGCCTGTCCGTGCCGTCAAGAGCATCAAGATCATCCGCGTGCTCGCGCAGCGGTGGGGCGTTATGAGGGCTTTGCCCATCGAGTTTAGCTACCAGATTGAGCAGACAACGGCGCCTGATGCAGAGAGGGACTTGGGTGCGAATATTACGCAGCCCAGGAGTAGGGATATGGGTGAGGCGGACTTAGGTGGCGTGAACCAGGTCCAGTTCGAGTATGAGTGGGATGGGTACGGCGCCACTGCGGCTGACGCGCCACCCGTGGACTTTAGTACCTTGGACATGAGTTCTTTTGCGTCTTTGGGAACTCTCGATGTTTCTGGATTGAGCGGCCAGCGGACGAATGCTATGGGCAGTGTTGACTTTCTGCAAGCCTTTCAGGGGCTCACGGATTGCGAGGACTTCAACTGGCTTTCGAGCAACAATGGGTTATGAGCGGGTTGAGAGATGGGGAAATGCCTCGGCTACGCGTAGCGCAAGGCTCATGTATACAATGTATCCATACCATGAGACGAGACTCTCTTGTCGTTCTGGAAGAATTTGTGGCGATCGAGGCGTTGGGCTGCGATCGATTGATCGGAAAATCTTGGACGGAACGGTTGGAATTTTTTGATTAAAAGTTTGATTTACTTGGACAAAAAAGTCGCAATCATGAAATAGGTATCTAGAGAACAAGCACAGGTTCCTCATCCTCCTTCGCCTCCTTCGTAACACTACCATCCGCCCTAACTAGGATCTTGATCTCCTTATCCACATTAAGCCTCAGAAGATCCGGTCTGCTGTAGTGACCGGTACAATCCGCAAACATCTTCGTCCTGTGGATGGCGTCAAAATCCAACTCGCCATAGATAATGGTCTCCGTGGTCTCGTCAACGGGCTCCGATAGCCTCCGGCCGTCCGGGCCGAAGATGGCAGAGTTTCCGCCGCCGGGGGTGGACATGATGGCGCCGCCCGCGCTGCTGTGCGCCGCGATACCCTTTTCAGAGATGAGCGCCGTGCTATGAAGAACAAAGGCATTTGACTCGATAGCGTATGTGCGAGAGAGGTTTTGACATCCTAATCATGCTGGTTAGTTCAAGCTCCTTGTGTGACCGGAATATCGGAATTTTGAATTCCGACCGGGAACAGTGATTTTGGTGACATACCTTCCGCGCTCATGGACCACATGTCCGGGCCACCCCCGGAATGAGGCGTGACGCTGGGCCATGCCGAGACGTGGATCTCCTCCTTTTGCGCAATTGTGTTATACTTCAAAAGGGGCTGGATGTGCTCCCAGCACGCCAGAGAACCGACTCGCGCAAACGGCAGCTCTGCCACGCTCTTCAAGCAGTGGCCCGACGCGTCGCCAAAGACGGTGCGCTCCATGTGCGTAGGCTTCATCTTGCGGCGGTGCACCTTGATCTCGCCGTCCCCGCCGATGAGAGCCTGCGCAATGAAGAGCGAGTGATTGTCGTTCTCTGAGAAGCCGAGCGAGACGGCAATGTTGTTTTCCTTTGCGCAGGCCTGGATGGTGGCCATCTCGGGCGAGTCGAGCTGTAGCGAGTTCTTGATGTACTTCACGTTGAGATCAAAGTCGATGAGGCGGGTCCAGATCCACACGGGGTAACCGGGGATCCAACACTCGGGGAAGGCAATGAGCTGGGCGCCATTGGAGGCGGCCTCGGTGATGAGCTGGCATGTCTTTGCGACGGCAGCTGGGAGGTCGATCCAGGCGGGTTCGGCCTGGGTGACGGCCACCTTGACAACTTTGCTTGTGTTGGTCATTGTTGCTGTTGCTGTTGCTGTTGCTGCGGGGGTGGAGTTGGTGATACGTAAGGCAAGGTTTGAGAGCAAAGACATGTGAAGAGGAGATGCAACTGCAGGTGAAAAGTAAAAAGCTTGACAGGCTCGCCTGATTTCGGACGACCTCCCGAAGGCTTCCTTTTATATATCTCTTGGATGGCGGTGCTGGCTGACCGGATGTGGGCGCGGCATGTAATAGCTGCAATACTACAGGGTGGTTCGTTACCTGATGAAGATAGCGCCGAGATATGTCTACTAACAAGTTCGTCTTTTCCCATGCAACGCAGACCCAATGATAAGGAAAGTGCGGGGTTAGAGTTTTGCTAATATTCATAGTCTTCATGATAGCAAGGAGATCGTTTCACAATGCGACGGTCATAGGGGGGTGTGATAGATCATGAATTCCGCTAAGCCTCCGTTGCACCGCGGCAGTCAGCCGGGAGCGGAATGCAGACCTCCGCAGTGATACTCCGTCAGCAATATCCAGAGGCACACGACTCGAGCAAGGATGTCAATAGTGCATTATTATAGTGCTAATCATCTTGGATATCAGAGCTATCGGCACATTTGTTACGAAATGCTACTACGAAGGTGTAAAAGGAGCAAGTCAGAATCGGTAGACGTATCAGGGGCCGGAATCCTTTTATGGATTGCGAGGGTAATCCATATCCCGACAAACCCCCTCCCACCGGTGTAACCAAGATATGCCAGGTTCCAACCAGCCTGGCATTCAGCTCATCTCCACCCCAACGCGTCCGCTTCATTCCCCTATCAATCCGGGATCTGAGTAACCGGCCCAGTCGAACCAGGTCAACCAACATCACCAACTCAATAAGCGCCGCCTTCCCAGGGCCGATCATGTCGAGTCCCTTGAGACCCTTCGGATTGCAACTCAAGCCAATCACAATACCCAACCCATTTCTTTTCCGTTATCTCGCGTAGATCAAATCCATCTTGGCCGGCGTCGACGGAATATCCGTTGACACTCAAATAGCTTCCGAACTTCTTGCCCTCCATCCAACCATCCTTCTTCGGTCTCCACACCTTTGTCATGTTCTGCTCGCCCGCCGTCACCGCCACCGCCGCGGCCGCCGGCGACCCGTCTTTGCCGCGGGTCTCCCTCTCATCCGCCCCGGAGCCGGTCCCGGCACCGATTCCCAGGACCGGCAGATCCACGTCTATGACCTCGCCCTTGCCCATAAACGTGAAGCATCGCATTCCGCAGCTTTTGCAAAAGAGAAAGTGTAGGTCTTTCTCATAGACTGTGTAGTCGCCTAGGTCGTTGTACGGGTCAAGGGGCTTCAGGAGGAGAAAATCATCCGGGGCTGAGGCGAGGCGCATGTGGAATATTCCGGCTTTGTGGCAGGTGGTGCAGTTGCATCTGTAAAAGTCTTGATGCGTTCGCGCTTCGGCCCTGGGGACCCGCGCGGGAGGTTGGGCGTGGGGAAACGAGAGAAAGACGATGTACTGCGTCGCACCGCAATGACATGAGCCTCTGTAGGGTCGTCTAACAGGTTGCTCATTCATGATGAAGGCTGTTGATCTGTCGACCTGAAAGTGCTGACTGGTCCCGATTCAGCTTTAGAAAATGCAGTCGGGTGAGAGTGCTTCTTGTTCGAAAGCAAGAGGATTTGGGGCGGGGAAACTCGTGCACACGCGCCCTTGGAGCAACATGGAAAGGAAACATTTGCCCAATTGGCGCGCTCTCACCAATCCCTTGCACGAAACCGGACATATTCGGACCTTCGCGCGGGTGTCACGCCAGCACAACAATTGCGTCGTTGACTAACATCAGGATAATTCTGAGAGTAAACAAATAATCTATCGCGCTAAGAACGCACGTTTCCTGTCCATCATAAGTCCCCGAAGCCTTGCCTTTGTCCTTGTTTATCTTAGAGTTTCCGTGATAAGGCCGTTTGCTTCACCTAGAATAAATACAGGTCATGGACTGGAATAGCAGACCAACACATCAATAGCACGCCAGCTCCGTGCCGTCTGCTCAACCCATCCATCAGATTTTCACCACGGAATTGGCCCATGTCGGTTTGAAAATGTCGCAGATGCTCCGTCAGGTCCCAACGTCGCTAGGTACACTGCCTGAACCGATCCCAATGACGCTTCATCAGGACCCTCGTACGAGTTCATGTTGGTCGCGCAGTAGCCAGGACAACAAATGTTAAACTTCCACATCTTATCGTCCCTGTATCTAGACGCAAAAGTCATCGCTGCGTGGTTGAGCGCGGCCTTGCTCGAACCATACTCGATAAAGTCTCTCACAGGTCCCAGACTTGGGTCTGTCCGAATCGCAAGACTCCCCAGCCCAGAACTGACGAAAATGATGCGCCTGACCTTGGAAGACTCGCAAAGAAGAGGAATAAAGGCGTCTGTGACGGCGACGGAGCCGAAGACGTTGGTGTTGTAGACCGTCGCGAGCTTTTGTCGGATCGAGTCTTCGGGCTTGCCCAAGAGGATTCCAGCATTGTTGATGAGGACGTCGAGATGGCCAAATTTTGTGCGGATGATATCGACGGCTGACTTGATGCTCTCATCGGAAGTGATGTCGAGTACCAAGGGTTCAACATTCAAGCCGGCTTCCTGGAGCTCCGATGCTGCCTTTTCAATGGCTTCTTTCCGTCGCCCTGTCATGAAGACATGGTAGTCCGGGTGCTCTGAGGCTAATCGCTTGGCAGTCTCATAGCCAATGCCCTGGTTGGCTCCAGTCACTAGAGCTACTGTCGGGTCTGCAGACTCTCTGGACATCTTGAACACTACGTCTAGTTCTCGGTTCTAATTTTCAATATCTAGAAGTTGAAGAAGGATGCTGGTCGTCAGTGTAATTGTGATGTTTTTTCTATGATAGTGATGTGTTACAGAGAGAGCTGTCCACATGCAGGTTGGCCATTTAAAATTGAAACTACAAACAGTTCATACATTGACATGGAGCGCAAACGCGTTTGTGTTTGCGCCTCGTGACTTTGTCTCTCGAAATGGCAATTGCTCACATACGTCATCTCAAAGCAACCGACCATTTTTCTTTGGGAAGGCCATGAACGACAACTGAGAGTCTGAGACTGAGACTGAGACTGGAGTCAGACTAGCCTGCCAGCAAAACTTCTACGAAAGTTGATCTACGAAAAGTCTATTGACCCTTGCCCCGTGCCGAAACAATCCTTCACCCAATGCAGATGCTGATCATGCTGCTTCATCGAAGATTCTATGCATGCCTTCCCCTGCATGAACTTTCGTCCCAACTTGATCACCTTGGCATGGCCCGTATCCGGAGTCCGGAATCGCTGGGAGCTGAGAATGTTTGTCGGCGATCTGAAACGGAGTCCACGGATATTCGCGCTTCACGCTGGAAGCCGACGGCCTTGGAACTAGGAACTATTACAGAGCTGTTTCCAAGAAAGCCTCAAATCACCGGAGAGAGACAAGGCCAAACAGGGGCTGAGGTTTGCTCAGATAATTTAGAATATGGGTACGCGTCTAAAGTCTTGCTCATCAGCTAGCAACTGAGCTTACAAGTTCGAAAACGTCAATCCAACATACAGGCTACCTATACGATGATGAATAACTCACTGGCAGATACTACAGTTCTATGATCAAAAGTAACAAAGATAAGTAGTCCCCTATGCGGGCTCGAAGCGACGACGTAGGCAATGAACACATGTTATGGAAGCTGGAAAAGAACTTGCTCATCGACCTTCAGGAAAACACCTGCTAACTTAATCCAATGGACTGCCGTGACTGCTAAGCAAAACAATGCTCGAGGCCAAAAAGAGGGCCCTAACCAGGATTCGAACCTGGGACCTCTCCCAGACGCGTCGTTTAAACCCTAAGGGAGAATCATACCGCTAGACCATCAGGGCTGATTATTAAGCGGGGTACTTCGATGTAAGCGTAGTTCACTGTTTGGTTTTATCAAGCCTCAAGTTTCAGACCAGTGGATTTTGTGACAAAGAATCCTTCTCTCTACCTAAGATAAGTGCCCCACGCCAGTTCTGTCTCAAGATTCACTGGCCAGCCGAAAATATCGCAAATATGGTGTATATGCTTGAACATATGTTCAGATCTTAGTCAGTGAGTCATTCCGGATCCATTGTATAAGAAGCTACTAGGTACTTCAAAAGAGTTTTTCAATTGCTGAATTGTACGTCCGTGGGGTGACTATGATTCCTGAATTCAGGTCCCGACATGATCTATTTGATGTAGTCCTTGGTCAACTGATACTTCGACTTATCGTAGCTCTTGGGCCAAACCCCGCTCTTCCCGGGAGCCAGAATGCCATTGGGGTCTAACGCGTCCTTGATGGTCTGGTTCAACTTGCCAAGCGCATGATTGTTGAAGTCGTACGTATCCGCGATCTGATCCATCAGAGCGACGTGAGTACGGAACTCGCCCCAGCCGTTGTCAGCACAATCCTGGATCATGGTACGGACGAGCCACTGCGCACGGCGACGCATGTCGGGATCCTCCCTGTTGTAAACGATGCATACAATGTTGTCTGTGCAATCTCGCGTGAGTAAATCTCCTCAATACCCCATGGTGACCCAGCGACAAGCTGGGTGACGGATAACTTACGCATTTCACGCATGCCAATGCTGAGAATACCAAAGTAGTCCAGCTTCGCCTCTGCAAAGCGCTTCTTAGCCATCGTGTACTGCTTCATGGCAGACTTGCCATCAACCTTGGAGATTGGTGAGAATGACAAGAATGTGCAGTGAGGGATCCATCTGAGTACACTGGTCAATGCTGCGACGTAGGCACGGGGCGTTTGGATACTTACTGGTTGAGCCACCTGAGCTCGTCCCATGTTGGCAAGCCTCGCATAGTGTCAGCCCGGCAGTGCAAGGTGCTATGCTCCTCTGTACGATCCTCGAGCAGAAACCATCGACTTCCGGGAACCTTGGTCATCTCACGCTTAGTGATTTCAAGGTGGGCTTTGCGGATCGGCTCGGGCCCGTAGGCTGCACCAATGTAGACCCATCGGCCAAGGTCGACCTTCTTAGCCGCAGCATCCAGTTGTTCTTCCGTTAGGGGGGTATTGGGATCATCAGTGTACGCTGTGCGGGGGTGGTAATGCGAAGCATCGAGCGAGATGTGACGAAGGCTAGCGGCATTTTGGAGAACCATGTTCTACAGAGTTTGGTGAGCTGCGCTACGCGTAGAGTCTCAAGGGAGTAACTTACAACACGGAGCGGACGAATGATATCGACGACAGCCTCAAGATCTTCATCCTTCTCGTATGTAACCATGAAGGGAGTAATTCCAGGCGGTGCAGGCATGAGCTATCCATCAGTCAGCTTCGCCTCATCTTAGGGCCAATTTAGGTAGTCTCCTCTTCTGGCTTCTAACTTACCCACATGCCCATCTTCGTGACAATAGCGTTGTTACTCTGAGAGAAAATTCCGTCGTTGATTGGGCCAAATCCGTAAGGGAAAAGTTGCCAACACTCGTTCTGATGCTGATCTTGAGGTGGCACTCCTTGAGCCGCCTGCTTGCGACCCTCGGGGCTCTGCATGGCACCCATGCCCGTGCGAACAACCTCTCCACTGGCCAGCACGACTTCCATACCACAGTGCATCATCCAGTGATCGCCGTATGGAGTGAAGCCAACACCATGGTCCAGGGCGTTTCCGATCATGGAGCCGTAGCCAAGCTCCGGTGAGTCCAGCCACACCTTGTCCCGCAAGCCGTTGTCGTCGAGGTACTTCTGCATCTGCAGATAGGTAACGCCAGGTTCAACGAGACAGTAGCAGTCCGTCGCATTGACCTCGATGATGCGGTTCATGTGCTTTCCTAGGTTCATCACCAAACTTCCGGTTACTCTCGGAGCGGCACCGCCATAGCCGATATTGTGGCCTTTGCTGTAAGTCCACACAGGAACGAGATATTCGTTACAGAGCTTGATGACTGCTTGAATATCTGTCACATTCCGTGGGTGGATGAGTGCGCTGCCGACAAACTCCTCACGCTCGTAGAGGGAGTGCATGTCGTGCGTCTGGCAGTCAACGGTTTGATAGTCGCCATCATCCAGAGGAGTATCTTTGGTAATGATCTGGAGGTTATCCTTTCCGACTGCCTTCTGAAGGCTCGCTGCGAACTCCTGGAACTTCTCCGTGGAAACTCCAGGAGGTAGAAACCGAGGAGCTGGTGCCGCACCGTTCGATGCGTGCCCTCCATTCGCTGACGTGACGCCTGGTGCCATGATTCTGTCGATAGTCTAGTAGAATTAGTGCAGTAATGAAGAGTTGATGATGAAATATGCAGTTATTTCTGGATTGAATCCAAATAATCAATGTTGTTGCTGTTCGTAGTCACAAGTCTGAATTCGCAAGCCTTTACCTTGAAGAGGGGGCAGAGCTGATTTATTGATGAGGGCTTCCGGTCTATGACGTCCGTGAGCTTCGACCTAGCTCTAGAGCTTAGGATGAGCTGTTGCCAATATCCATATCATGGCAGACCTTCGGAAGTTCGGCCTCCACAGATGACCGCGGATCCAGTCCGCGCGGGGCTGTAAGCGCGGAGTAGCACTTGGACTACTCGATATCAAACATCTCCTACATGAGAATGCCCGTTCCTGAAGAGAACGGCTCTCTTGGAATTCCCTCAAGTGGCTGCATGGCATTGAATCAAACTTCCAAGAGTCCGATGGGAACGTCCGTATCACTATCCTCACCTGACTAATGAAGTGCAGAAAGAGTTAAGACTCCATGTCCCATTGGAAGTACAACGGCGGACTGCCGATAGTTACGGAATGTGCGGCGACTTCGTAATCTTGGCCATCTCTGCAGCTGCCATATCGTCTGATCAAGTGGGATGTTTAGAGTTGTGTTTGACTTGCCGAACTCGGATTTCAACCTTTGGCCAAGCCTCTCAAGATGATACAGAGTAAAGAAGTGACGGGCGCCGACAAGAAGCCATCACTACTTGCCTTATACGAATACCCACGAAAACGAGTGTTTCGCTGACGAAGTGAATCATACGCTGCCATGGCTTGTGGTTTCGCCTGATCTTTGCAGGTCTATACGGCTAGGTTGTCCTTGTTTGTTTCGATGTGTCTCCGCGTTTTAACTAAGCACGCGGCCCACGGCTATCTAAGCTTGACAGCAGGCAGGCCACAGCCTCCTTGTTCGACTTCAAGATGAAAGGTTACTGGGTATGAGTAAGTTCCCTGAAGCAGTCAGCATATCCATGCACTGCCCGCAAGACGACGGTCCACCTAACAACGGTAATGCAGTGACGTTGTCGTGACTTGATACCGGACTAAACTCAATGTTGTTCTTCGCCTTGAACGTGAACGGCGACCCTATGAGGAGGACGGCGGACAAAATTGACCAACTGGAAGACTTCGGCCCTCGGTCTAATTTTCAGTTCCACGAGTATCTCGGTTGACGGAGTGTAACGTAGATCTGATTAGGAAGTTACCACTTCAGGCGAACGGTGTTTAATTAAGATGCCCAGAGTATGGTAAAGCTATAAAGATTTAAGGGTGCCCTACTTCCTACATGTCAGCGTCATATGAGCATGCTTAATAACATTTCCATTTTATTCCTCTTGAATCTTATGCTGCACACACTTTCGTTGATTTCAACATGGTGCCAGCAGCTATTTACAATCCCGTAAAGGATGGTCTCGAGGCGCCATTGAAATCTCCTCAGAAGTTCAACGCCTTCAGCTCGAGTGTCAACGACGGTACCATTCCCATTGACCCTCCCCTCAACCCAAAGCATCGGTGGTGGTGGGATAAATGTGCACCA